GAGAAAGAAGAATTTCATAAAAATGTGGCCTACTACATAGTTCTGAGTCCTAAATGCAAGTGATACTTTGTTGTTGGGCTGAGTATATAAATGATTCTGTAAAATTGTGATAAAAGAATTATCACGGGGGGAAACATGGACGTATTTTTGGGAAATGGTGTTATTATTTTTGATCCGGTGTGCATGCAATATTTATTTGTTTGCTTTTCCATCCAATCTAATCTCCTAGAAATCCGGATTATCCTCGGGACAGGAGTAAATGCGAAATCTTTTGCTTCCACCATGTGTCAATATTTGCACGCTCCGTTTAATTCGGAAATTAGTTCTGAAGCTCCTCATTTCTCCACTTGCTGTCTTTATTTCTGCCATCGCGTGTACTACGTTGATTGATAAATAGTTCAGGGGTCAGCCCAGAGTAAGAATCCGCCCCCTCCATATTTCCTTGCCCACATTTTTCATTATTCTTCAGAATTATTATGCCTACGTACGTACATACGAATGTACGTATACGCGACCAGCGCTTATCTTTTATGTGCAGGTCGACTTAAAGGCATTTCATCAAATGCTTTCACTTTTACTGTCAAATTCCTTATTGGAGACTAAAAAAGGACGATAAATTCCTATAAGGCGTCATTATTAGCTCACCCTGCGTAGCATGAGAGCTATTGAATTCCTCTTGTCCGTCTGTCCGTCTGTCCGTCTGTCTGTTAACGAGTTTTTTGCATCAATTGATGCTAATTAATAAGTCCCAAAACCATTTTAACCCAAATTAGTAGCACAATTGGTATGCAATAATCTATGTCAAAATTGGCTAACAATTTTTCCGCTTACTTTCCACCATTGATGCATAGTTCTACTAAAATCACGTATCTTGGTTGTTTGTTTGTATGGTACAAAACAATTGGGACAGTCGATGAAAAACGCACTAAAAGTACAGAATAGCTGGCAGTAACAATTAAACAATCTTGACACAGCATCATTGGCGGAGCGAGCTAATAGTCGATATTAGGAAATTATGTAACTATTTGCACCGCTTATTTACCACCATTGGTACTAATTTGTGTCGCAATTATGAGTCTCCTTTGTCGGCTTATTTTGCACCTTTGATGCAAAATGAAATCCTAATTTTGTCCGCATTATTCGCTTATTCTGCACCTTAGGTGCAAAGTTATATCCCAATCATTTGAGGGTGAGCTACTTCTAACGTTACTACGGTTTATTATTGTTTCCTCGGGCATCCATTAACAAGAGAATTTGCGGTGAATCGGCTTTTGGTGGAATTTTGTAACGATCGGAGATGTTCTAAGAATCACAAAAAGAATTATGTAAGCTGTGAAATCCCGTCCCTCTCCTTCAGCGCTGGTGATATATTTCTGATTCTCGCCCGTCATTTGTTATTCCGACAAACCCGATTTTTTCTTCCTCCAACTAAACTTATCTTTTCTCAAGCTTGGTCCACGATATGGGGAGAAAAAAATCCAGAGGAAACTTCACCTTCCGTTCAGTGCGAAATGGAGCAGACCACATAAATGTGTGTACTTAAATTGCATAACGATTGCGGAATTACTGTTTTGCATGCAGCTTATGTAATGGAGACGACGACGACAACATGTTTTTTTACATAAAAGTACAAGCGACTATGTAACCTCAGTCAGAATCGATTTTTTATTCACAAAGGAATCATAACTAAATAAATCCTGGCATTGTACACACATTATTTGTCGAATATGTAAAAAAACATGATCATGCGATGAGATTGAGGAAATGCGCATTAGTGCTTTCACTTTAAAAAATACAATGTATGCGAAGCGTAAGGGATTGCAGACAAGATAAAATATTTGTGTCCATTTCCGAAGGAGTTTTGTATTTCATTTGGAAATCTCTCTCTTTTTGTGATGGAAATGGATCCGGTTCAGTGTGTGCAGTGCGGACGATGGAGAGTTGGCTTAACCTTAACCCTGGCTGGTTGTGGAGCTGCAGGAGTAGCCCAGTCGCTTTCTCTTTGGAAATCCCAAAATAAAAAAATGATGATTTGGCGTTTTATTGGCGAAATGTGTTTGTGTGGGCTTGTGTGCTGCTGCTCTTGCTGCTGGTGGGGACGATAAGGAGGAAAACTGGAGGAAGAAGAGAGGAGAATTTGCAGCTTAAGTATACTCACGCCGTGTGCTATGTGCTGCTTTTGGCGGAGAGAAAGGAGCAGAGTTAGCATTGGGACGACGAAGAAGGGGTGTAATTGATACACCAATCACTGAAATAGGATTTGTGCCCTGGAATTGCCACTCGAGCAGCTTTCCCCATAATCCTATTACACTGCTTTCACCGTCTGTCCTCTCTCCTGCGTTGTCTCATTTCGTCCACCTGAGAACTGCCACGACCAGTTTTTTTAGAATTCCGCTCAGCTTAACTTGGTTTCACTCCCTTTGGGGAATTGGTCTGATTTCTGCAGAATAAAGAAGCCGCGTTTTGAGAGGAATTTCTACTCGTCTTTTTGGACAAAATAAATACATGTCTTGTTCCGATGAGGGTATTATTGCTGGATGGAACATGTATGAGACTCTGCTGCTGGACACTTGGAAGTCGCTTCTCCACTAATGATTGCAACTGGCTGGTGTAACTGACTGGGAGTCGGAGCAGGCAGGCAGCAGGGTCATACGTTTCTTTATTTCGCCCTCTCCTCTCCCTGCTACTAAGTAATTCAGTATTCGATGAAGGTTATATCATCATCCGACTCCTCCAGCCGTTAAATTCCTCGTCCTTGGGTTGGAGTCGTGATAAATATTCAGTTCAATTCGGTTACAACGACGACAGAGTCCTCTTGATCCCTAATTAAGCCTTTTCTTGCCCTGTCTAACTTATGTCAACTCATTGTTGCAATTTGGGGAGATAAACTGCATAATCGAGTACTTAACCTTTTCACTCAAACTCACTCACTTGTTTCTTGCATCGGGAACTTTGCTTGGGTTTCGCTTCATTTTGTGTGTGGCAGGCGGGCCGAGGTCGAGGTGACAAAATTGGAGAGCGAGATTAGTAAAGGACGGATTAGGCTTGGTTTAAAACTGCAACAAACCGGTCGGAGCCGGAGGTGAGAACAAAGTGCAAATTATGCTTTTAGCTTTTATGTATGGATGGATACTATAATTAAGTACGTTATATTCTGTTGTGTGCGAAAGTGATGGCAGGAGTGTCAATGTTACACGGATTGTTTATAGTCCATTTGGATTACTTGTTGCCATTATGTGGGCTTTAAAAATAGTACCGCATATGGTGAAAAGGGCAATATCAAGATGACATTTTAAGAGGTACAAGATATGGCCATGTAGTTTCATGGGTGAAGGTGGTCTGAGGGTCAGGTGTACATTGAGGGACTCCAGTTAATGGCGTCGTACGTGATGAAAGAGAAATGATCCTTGGCCTTGTCTGAGCTTATGCAATGTCCTCGGAACAAACAGAAGGGGCAAAAAATCCACCTTGTTCACTTTCGATTCCTACCCACCACGGTCATCAATTGTTTCTTGTGTACATATTATGTGAGCACTTTTGAGGCTGGGTGAGTAGGTGGTGATGGGATTTTATTATTGTAGACTTGATATAGCCCCAGCCATAGACACTTTCTTCAAATTAAATATGCATACAAAATTTCAACATTTTTCGACCGATTTTTAAAACCAGTATGGTCATGAGACCGGTATGGGTGTCTAGCCGTCGATGGGCTTCATGTTCTCAAATCCCATGCATACTTGCACATTCATTCGAAATTTCTTGTAAGCTGACTTATATTTGTTGTAGGCAACTATATATGGAGCTAGCTGGCCCTCGTAATTCAGACTAGACCGATCTTGTCCATCCACTAATTTGATTTCTCACTGGTCCCACAAAATTTCAAGCCGGTCGGACAAGTTTTGTTACCAAACTATCCAGACAGACGGACATAACGCTTCCACTCATAAGCTCTGTTCGGGGTTAAAATTGGAATCCTGTCCAATAAGGACAATCCGTCCTAAAGTTGGCAAATAGTACGAGGTTCTTTCCATCCCTCGGAGTGTATTCCTCGTATAAATAACTATGCACGCACTCATTACAAATTCTGATCACTTTCTCCACACTTTCGCTTTATTGCTCTCTCCCAGCTTCTCATATCCTGGACAGGGACAAGGTTTTCCATGCTGGGCAAAGTTAACTTTCTTCCTGCGTTCCCTACTTAAACATCTTGCCTTCTACATCTTCTACAGGAGTAAAAACAGGAACATACTGGAGTAAAACCCTGTATGCATCCGCTCTTGCCGTCCGTAATGTCGCGTTATAACCGTCGAACGGATAAACTTGACGACAAGGGGTCAGAACTAAGGTCAAAGATAATGACACATTTACCAACAAACCAGTGGTCGTGGAAGCCGTGGAGGACATTTGCGATACAGAATAGGAGAGGGAGGGTTTATATAACATCCATGGGCAGATGACGGGTATAATGTCTCTCAGTGCCCAGGTTTCTGCGACAAACAGGTCCTGTAGAATGTCAAATTGGTAGTATTTTTCAAGGTGTATCCAACGTGATCAGTAATTTGACAACGATGTATGACGGTGTAAACAAGGTCAAACCTGTCGGCGTTTTTAAGTGTTCTTCAAGACTTACAACATGGGAAAATGTTTTGATTCTGCTATTGGTTTCACCCCTTCGTTACGTCCGTTTGATACGATTTATTGATATGAGGTTTAGTATATTAACCTAACCAAGTCCCAGAACCTCTAATGACCATCACTTTTCCCCATCTAAGTAACTATCCGATGAACTGACATTGTCTAACATTTTAGACAACACATGCACCACAGAGTGTACATCTAACATGCACGGAGAGCTGTAATTTGTATGTGCGAATGATTTTACGAATCTCTGGAATTTGCATGAATCTATAAGCTTAGGATATAAATTCATGGGAATTTGCACAAAACGCAGTAAAAGAGAGGCTAAAAAAGGGGAACCGTCCCAACCCCAACCGGCAAATTCTGTATTCTGTATCCAGCAAAGATAGATTTTAGCCAATTCCTTCCTCTTTCTGCTGCAAATTTAACTCACGTCACTCACAGCAGCACAATTTCACATTTAATTGGCATTAGCTCGCGTGTAACTGTCTCCAGTTTCACACCTGACCTCACCCCCTCGTCGTCGCAACTAACAGCTGACTTCACTCCAAGCGGAGACGAAGGAATTGGCTTAATCGACGAAATCTTTCGAAAATTGAAATTGAAATTTAATTTAGCTTCAAAACAGTAATAATGGCAATTACGGGGAACCGGTTTCAGGTAAATATTTTGCAATACTTTGAGTATCTTTATCTCACATCACGTTGAAACTATTTGGGTGCAAATTACTGCAAATAATATTTTAGGTTAATTTATATTGGATTTGTCCTTCATATCATATTTAGAAAAAACTCAACATCTATGCATAAATTGTTTATCACGCAGTGATCATTCACTTCACTCGTGACAAAATGATGGACTGTAAGTTTAATTGTAGCAGTTCCAATATTGCATTTTCTTGTTTACGTATTTCAGTGGGTGTGTCGGCAAGCGTTGCGACGAAATTTCTCCGTTTCATCCACCCTTAGCTCAAAACAGGTATGGATTAAATCATAATAAACCCAATCTGTAAAATATCTGTACATATTTGAAATAATCTACCTAATATTTATTTCATAGTTAACGGTTCGGGATGCTTTAAATTCGGCCATTGACGAAGAAATGGAACGAGACGAGCGAGTGTTTGTTCTGGGTGAAGAGGTCGCCCAATATGATGGTGCTTACAAGATAACCCGAGGTTTGTGGAAGAAATACGGCGACAAACGTGTGATTGACACGCCCATTACGGAAATTGGGTTCGCCGGAATTGCGACAGGGGCTGGTAATAATAATAATGATAATAATAATAATAAACTGGTTATCGATTTATTTCATCATTGTATAAAGTTAATGGAAATATTTCACTCTATTATTAACTCATTTTTTGGCAGCCTTCGCCGGATTAAGACCTATCTGTGAATTTATGACTTTCAACTTTGCTATGCAAGCAATCGATCACCTTATCAACTCTGCCGCGAAGACTTTCTACATGTCAGCTGGGGTGGTGAGTCCAGAGAGATGTCCAAAGGACACGAGAATTCAAATTTGCATAAATAGACGTAATTATATATTGTATTCAATAATCTCCCAATTAGGTAAATGTCCCGATTGTATTTCGAGGACCGAATGGTGCTGCATCCGGCGTGGGGGCACAACACTCGCAATGTTTTGGCGCATGGTACGCCCAATGTCCAGGACTCAAGGTCATTTCTCCTTATTCATCTGAAGATTGTAGAGGACTACTCAAAGCTGCAATTCGTGACCCGGATCCGATTGTATTCCTCGAAAATGAAATCATGTACGGTACCGCCTTCGAAGTATCGGATGATGTCCTCTCCAAAGATTTTGTCATTCCCATCGGAAAGGCAAAAGTTGAACGGTCCGGGAGTCATGTGACCCTAGTCAGCCACTCCAGGTTCACTTATTAGGATTTATAGTCACGTTTTGTGGTAATTAGCTTGAGTTGAGGATTAACAGTTTTTTTTTAAATATCAGAGGTGTTCAGTCCTGTTTGGAAGCAGCTAAGGAATTAACGGGAAGCGGGATTGATGCCGAAGTTGTTAATCTTCGCTCTTTGAGGCCTCTAGATATCGACACGGTCTGTACTAGCTTGGCGAAAACACATCACCTAGTAACTGTGGAACAGGGGTGGCCCATTGCCGGAATCGGATCCGAAGTTTCTGCCAGAGTTTGTGAAAGTGAGTTTAAACATAATTATACAGCATTTTTCAACATTTATTCCATTTGATTTGTCATCAATAGGTAACGCATTCTTCCAATTGGACGCCCCCATCTTGCGAGTTACTGGTGCAGATATCCCTATGCCATATGCAAAAACTTTGGAATCCTACTGTGTTCCGCAGCCTCACGATATTGTGAGAGCAGTTAAGCTAATGTTGAACATCAAATAGTTATTAAAACCCATAAGCTTTAGAATACTGCCTCAAGAGAATCAATAAATGTAATAACGACAGACATGAAAAGTAGTGGTGATGATGTATCTATATCCTTATATAGCTCTCGTAAAATTTGAAACCCGTGAAGGAAAGTTGTGATTAGGACAAACAAAAGAAATAATGTTAATTAAAAAATGGCAGTGAAACTAATGGCACATTTTATTGATTCTTTTGGTTGTTTAACCAGAGTGTCTCCGTCATTTCCTTCGGCCACATTAAAATTATAACACTACAAGGAAGCAGTCTAGTCGGCCGTAGAAAAAAATGTGTTTGTTCTTGCCTTTGTTATGTAAAGTTTTAAGTCGACCCTGCTAAATATGTAATGTTTTAACCAGAATATTTTTGACTTCATCTTGTTCTGTTCAATTCAATAAAATAATCGGGTGGAGGATCGATACGCAGCTATTATATTATATAAGTAATCCTAAATCTTCCTAATTCCAATAGTATGAAGCGTAAACTGGCTGATAAAAAAATACATGTGAATTTAATATATAATATGTCCTCAGTGACGAATAAACTAGATACAAAAGTGGATATGAATATAATTTCATTTATATATTCTTCATCACATAATTACAATAATTGAGGAAAATCAGTCCTTCACACCGATAAATAAAATGCACATTTATCAGATACTTGCGCCCATAATACTACACAAAGTAAATATCTATAAACAAAGTCAATAATTTTATTCTAGGAAGTCAGTTCATGAAGGTTGAGCTTGAATAGCATTGGCTCGATTGTGAAGATGCAGTACAGTTTTCTGAAGAATAACGTTTCTGTCTTTGAAATATTGAATCAAGTCGGCTTGGCGTTGAAATACTTCCTCTTCCATTTGACTCAATCTGGAAATACAACGACAAATTATCAGATAACATATTGTTACCAGAATGGATGCAAGTTTTGCTTTTTGATCGTACGAGTTGTGTCTAAAGTCTGTAGCAGAAGACACCATATCGTCACGAAACACGTCGGGAGGAACTTTGCTTCTGTTGAATCTCACGACTTGATCTAAAAAAATGTACATGTACAGAAAAAATATATAGCACCACTATTTAGTAACTTATGGCATGATTAATTGTCTACTACAACTCACACATGTACGTGGAAATAGCGACTAGTAATACTACGCTTTCTAATCCGATACAAATTGTCAGGTATTCCGTGCGTGTAAGATGAATTGACTTGCCACACTTGGTCGCTGACTTGCAGTGGTCACGAAGTACGGTGGATACCGCAAGAAGAAGCGTGTTGACTGAAAAATTGCCCACAATTACAAACATAAGTACTAATTGCTGGAAAAATCTTAAGGAATTTCAAATTTTACACGTTGACACAATCCAAAATGGAAGCTGACTTGCGATCTGACACTCATTAAAGAAATTGATGTATCCTCTCCTTCTAATCTTTATGTGCTGATATCGAATAAATTGGTCACAGATCTGCAAAATAAATCATTGCAAATAAATAGATGCATTGACATAAAGTTATAAGGATTAATTACCAAAAATATAGCCCACATTCCACATTGGATGTATAACAAAAGCGAAACAGGTTTCATAAAGCAGATAGGATTCCCTTTATGGCCACCATTTCCATTATGATGATGGGCGGTGTGATTTACAGGTAAATGCTTTCTATCACATGCGAAAGGAACAATGGTCGAGATGATAAACACTGCAATCTGGAAAGGCAAATTTCAGTACAGGAATAGACAATTAAAATCAATTGTATCGTCAAGAATACCGTCAAGAGCAACATAAAGAGGCCCAGCCATGCGGTATGAATCGTCTTGTAGTTTGGAACTTCCGTAAGCATTGCAATATCGTTGGTGGAAGAAATGAGGACATGATGTTGTTGTTGTTCTTGTGATTGGAAAATACTACTGCTTCCATCATCCGTCAATATTCCTTCTTCCTCCTCCGCATCAGATCTTTCCTCGAACGACATTCCCTGCTGTGCGAATAAATGCATAGTATAAAAAAACATTCAACTATCAAATAAGGACACTTATAATGCAAAAAGTTACACGAGAGTTTAAGATGCCTGACATTCCGTGCGATTCAACTTTGCGAGTTACCTCCAGCACCTCAAATTGAGAATATCTCAGATCCCATACGCCCTACGGAATATTAATTTGAAGATTGGTTAGACAATGCATATAAAATTGTATCGGAGTGCATTCAATCGTAAATCGTACTACGATCTACGATAAACTACCATTATCGTTAATGTTTTACAATAAAGTGATAGTTTAAACAAACTAAACAATGGTGTACCAATATTACAGCAAACGCAGTATCCTTCCAGCCAACAGAAGATAAGCAGCTGACCTGAACTAAACTGAATGACGCAGTGCATTAGGTATTTCAGTTGTGAAAATAACGTAAACACCGGACGGGGCAATGTAACACAACACAATCTGAAAACTTTCTCATGACTTTTGTCACATAAAGTCATCAAAATTCACAGTGCCAATTTAATAGAATTTAATATGCAAATTCGTTTACTTGGTTGAGAATTTATTTTAAATCCAAGGCATAGGAGTATAAGGAAGATCTAGCTCATACGATGTATTGATCAGTTAAATAGGCCACTTCCTCTTCAACGCCGTGAGACATAAATCTCAAAATTTGCATATCTATTGGTATTCAAATTTTCAAAATGACAGAATTGAGTGGAGTAGAATAGTGGAGTAGCGAGAATTATCGAGGAACGACATATGCAGCTGTAAATAATAATATGAGGAGCAGAGCAGTGATAACTCTTCTTTCGAAACATGAAAGTTGCAAAATTCATTACACCATTTACACTTGTACCGATTTAGTTTATATATTGTATTTTCTCAGCGCTGTAAAAACGTTAATCTAGTGGAATGTTAATATTTTTTTACAAATAAATTTTAATAGTCTACAGCTAAGGTGCACGGCTTACAAGTAATATCCACAACTAAATGGTCAACCCGAGGCCCATACGACTTCACTTTGAAGATTCCAGCCACACCCACCAGCCATTCTTCTTCAGGGTACAAATCTTTAAGGATTTGCATAATCTTATTCTTCACGTAGTCACCCCATATCTGCCAAAACTTTGGGGTTCCACAATTCTCATTTGCATTAGTGCTGTAAGAATTGTTTTGGAGGTGGCATTTTTTGGTTTTACTCTTCTTGTGGAGGTCCACATTTCCATGAACATGCAAAACTCCACCTTTATCACGTCGCAATGCGGCCACACCAGCCTCCCAACTTCCTTCGGATGATGGGATGAGGCCTAAATTGACATGGTCGGCGACCCCTCTTGGAGCCATGATTTTGTTGTCTCCGCCCAAAATGGCATATCTCTCCGGATGGATTTTGTTCAGTTTCAAATTGTTTTTCAACCAGTAAATCGCGTCAGGATTCCATTCGCACGCGTGGACAAAGGCTGCTCTGGAGTGAACGAGGAAGGTGAGAGTGAAGTACCCAATTCCGGCAAACAAGTCAACCACGACCGAGTTTCGGAGGTCAAGTTGAGCCAGTCGTTGCTTTTCAGAAATGTTTCCAGGAGAAAACATGACTTTTGTGATGTCCCATTCGTAATGAATCCCATTCTCTTTCTTACGGACAGTGACATTCGTAGAGTCAGATGAGGATTCCGTAGGTGGATATAAGATGTCGACGGGCGAGGGTTGGCGAAAAGAGGGGTTGTGGATGGGGCCTGATTGTCTGAAAATGATTGTACAAGATAGAAGATCATCTAATGAACATTTTTGGAGCTTCATTAAAAAATAAGTTACCTTGCAATTGTGGAGACCTTGAGAATACTGGCAATCTCTTGTAATACTAGCGGATGTTCTTTCCAAATATGACTTGTGAATGCGGTGGGTGGGACAAGGACACAATTGCCATGAATGACCCATTTACACGGAACTTGATCGAGAAGGGTGAGATTCCAATTGGGGGAGGAGGACAACAGAGAGGTCACGATGTTGCGGAGTTGATGTGCCGTCCCCATCCCCAATACTTATGCTAATTAACCACCCCACTTATTCTTTTGGTGTGTTATACAACTAACCGATTTTCAAAGATCAAAACATGACACAAAGGAATAATTCAGTCAGCCGGAGATTTTCATGTGAACTTCAAATCCGAATTCTCTCAACTCTATGCGTTCCTATACCGTGTTGTTTTGCATGGCAAAATATATTAGCTTATTAATTTAATTAGCTACTGACTGCCGTTATCTAAATTTGAAAGAAATCAAGGATAATAATTGGGGATGATATTGTAAAGAATAGAATCAGTGCAGCAAAATACAAGAGAGGGAAGAAATAAAAATCCACGTAAACTGGTGAATAATAACCCAATGGAAAATTTTAGGTTTTTAAATTTTATTTTAGTGGAACATTCTTCGTCGGTAGTGTATAAAGAAAAAATAAAATAATCTACTTCTTCTTGGAGACACCAACAGTTCTTCCACGTCGCCCAGTCGTCTTGGTATGTTGACCACGAACTCGGAGGCCCCAGTAATGTCTCAATCCCCTGTGGGCTCGGATCTTCTTCAAACGTTCAAGATCTTCACGCAATTTGGTCTCCATGTTATTTGCCACGATCTAAAGAGCCCAAGCGAAAAATTAGCATACAACATAAATGAATACGGTTTAAGAAATGGCTTGACAAATTTAATTGCCTACCTGGGAATACTTGCCATCCTTGATATCCTTTTGTCTGTTGAGGAACCAGTCAGGGATCTTATATTGACGAGGATTAGACATAATGGTGATTACTTTGTCAACCTGGATAAACCATCATTTAATTATTCAATTGTTATTTTGTAACTTGGGTCAAAAGATTGAACTGTTGGAGCTAAAAGCACAAGTTACCTCCTCCTCAGACAATTCTCCGGCCCTCTTGTTAAGATCAATATCTGCCTTTTTCAGCACAATATTAGAATAACGGCGTCCCACCCCCTTGATAGCCGTCATGGCGAACATGATCTTCGTCTTTCCATCAATGTTGGTGTTCATCACACGCAAAATGTGCTGGAACTTTTCCGGCTGCACAAGCGACTATAAAAAAAGAAATTACAATAATAATTACTCAGGGTTTACAATTCAGTTTATCTATACTGCAATTTTTAAATAAGAAGATTTCAAAAATACATTGCACTAATAATTGCTTAGGTTCAGTATTTATTAGCAAATCAATCGTAAAAACTTCAAAATTACAGATTAATGCCAACTTCAAACTTGAGAAAAATACAAGCAAATCAACATAAATTACAAATGATAAGAACATGGATAAAGCCGAAAACTTACCATTTTGAATTATTTTTTGTTGTGCTGTTGTTCGAAACTTTCCAATCGAAGAATCGGTGCACAGACGAGAGGTGATCGAGTCGGAATGAGAGGCCGAGCGTGGAGTCGTTTTGAATATCTGCGGTGGGAGAACTGCCGTTGGGGCAGAGTGACAAGGGCAGATTTTAGTCTTCAATACATTACTGTACGGATGATAGTAATTTTGTGTACATAATACAAGGAGCAATGTGGATTTTTTAGTGGTGATCCACATTGTGGTTGTGGATGTGTCATTCTTTGCGACTTTATGTATTGTTCATCATCATCTGTTCTCATTTTGTTCATCATTTGATCCATCATCACTATACACTACACACCCAACTAGAAAATAAGAGGCCGGTCTCCAGAAGAAATTAACCAGTTTCTTGAGACGAGATAAGTAAATTAATTTACTACAAAAGATCCAGTAAAGAAAGTAGGTAGGTCCTGGGTCAAGAAGTCCTGAGTAATAAGGATTTCGAAAAGTTGATACATTGTTTACATAACCGGATCCAGTGTAGAGTGAGACAAGTGAAAGTGAGACTGGGAGAGAGAGAGAAAGTTGGAGGAGAGATCGCAGGGGCAAGTTGAATTTCATCGCCGATCGGGGCAAGAGAAAGCAACAAGTCGACCATAGGAAGGACGAGAACGGGAAAGTCGAGAGTTTTCTCCTGGTGAGTGAGTCAAAAAAACTAAAATTCAACTCTAATAGTGGAGAAGTCGTGAAGAAATGATGGGTAACCTTGAATCATCGATTAAGGCGTTTAAATATTGTCGATAAGTTGCCTTTTATGATGAGTTAAGCACTTTGTTTGTGACGTGTGAGATAGATTTGCTCAAGATGTAATGCGATGCGATTACTTTAATTTCTCATAAGATTGTATGGTCCGTTTCTGTCAATTCGTCGCACCGGCAGCGCATAACTTGATCTTCTGTTTGATTGATACTCTAATGGTATCAATAAGGGGCCGTTCTTAAATTACGTAACGCTAAAAATTGATTTTCTCGACCTCCCCCCCTCCCCCCTTTAATATGGCGTACATAGGCACGATATCATTGGGGCCTAAACCCCCTCCCCCCCTTCAAGCGTTACGTAATTTAAGAACAGCCCTTAACACATAAGTACCAATACTTGGGCCACACCTCATTCGCCACCCAGGTATTTATTTCCACGTCCTTTCCTATCGTTTTTCTTGTGTAGTGCATGTGGCGTAATCGTGGCGTAGTTAAAGTTTAATTTCCACTCTGCTACTGTCTGAAATTGGCCACTCATCTCGCACACTCCACCAGCAATTTCGTCTTGAAAGAATAAAAGCACGAGTGGTGGTGTAGTTAGTGTGTAGTAGTCCTTCAAGATTACATTCTCGGGTCACTTGTGTACATTTGCACAAAAAGCATGTTGTTTCCCTGTTTTCTCCTCTTTTCATCATCTCATAACCAACGAGACTGCTCTGCTCTTCTTCTTCGTGGATAATAGACGCGTAGGCTGCCGTTCACTCTGCAAGGCAGATGAGATGAATAGCATAGATGCGAAGACCTCATATACTTTCTCCTTCCTCCTGGAAACGAGCAAGCTAAGTAAGCAAGCAACCAACCAACTTTCTCCGTCCTCTCTTCTCCAGAAACAATTTCATTTCGCTTTTAGAAACAAAGTGAATTGGGGTGGATATTTTTTTGGTAATTTGGGCTTTAATGCATTTTCCTCTCTGGTCTAATCCTAATCCATTTACAAGCGAGTTGCTTATACACGAAACTAGAGTGTACATGTACGTACTTGGTATGGTATTGGGGATAGCCTCCAGTTGGATTCTCTATTAAGCGGTGTGGCAGTTTGTTAGCTAAACATTTTTCCATAATGAACATGGACATGGACATAATCACATCCTCCTCCTGACTACGGGCAGAATTCTCGTTTCTCTGTTTCTCGACCATTTTGAGATTATTCTCTCTATTCTCAAAAAATATTAGAATAAGCACTAAATGAGTTGAACAGTTATTTTGTATCTCGTCTACCCTTTCAATTATTGCCTTGGGCCCTGCATGCTCGTTAACTTTCCAGAGTCCCTCGTCCCCACTCTCTCGACAACAATAACAGTAACAATCATCTTGCAAAATGGGACAATTAGTAGACTGGGTGGTTGCGGTGTGATTCCTTGCAGCGATTATACGAATTAGATGGTCTCTTTCATAATCGTCATGAATAATTCACGAAAGCAAACCTGCATTACATACATGCCTCGATCACTCCATTGTTTGTCCTCTCTCACGTTCGGGTGTTCCTCGAAGCTATCCCCATGTCATGCATTCCATCCATCCATCCATCCATCCATCCATCCATCCATTATTGCATTCATATTATGCACCAAGCCAGGGGAAACCACTGTAGGAATAACAGTGACCAAACACCTCTGGGAAATCCCAACATTATTGTTGCCTCATGAATAAAAGAGAGTCATCCATCCAGCCACCAACCAACATTAATATTACCGTCGCCACGGACGTCACCTTCAGGCTATCCCACATTCCCAGACATTTGTTTAAGCTAAGCAGAGAGATGATATTCACGGAGAAAGGACGAGGTGCGGCCGGAAATAGAACTGCTTTCATTCCAACTTGGAATTATTCACCTAAATCTGGTATTCGCGAAAAAAAATCCTTTCTAAATTCCTCTTCCGCCTTTATATTCTGTCCTTGGGTTTGATAGCGTGAAAAGCGGAGGGAAAGTTTGGGAGAAAACGCATCATGTTCAGGTCATGAGGTGTCTGCTGGGATGGTGTGTCTTTGTTCAATTATCTCGGCCCGACACCTCATTTACTTTCATCACTCCACGGCTTTCTCCCTCCCCCCGTCTTCTCCGTCGTGTTATCTTGTTGGCTTAGGTGCTCGCGAGGATGGGCTGGTTTATTTGTTTAAATAAAAACGCCTCTTTCAAATCACGGAGTAAGATTGCTCCGGTTTTGTAAGCTTGTTGGTTCTCGGTGACGAAATTGCCACCGCGAGTCAGATAGTCAACTCTTTTTTGCCAACCACATGCAGATGGCAAGGGGAGAAAGGAAGGGACCATAATTCTTTCGGGGTTAGTTCGTGTCGTGTTGAGTGATGAAAGAGATCTTCTCTCATCTTCGAAAATCTTTCGCTTCATCCTTTAAAAATCGGGCAACAAGTTGGCGGCAGGAAAGGACACCCACAGATGCAGACCAGGCAAAGGAAGGTCGGATTCTCGCAGTGCCGGAAGGTGCATGGGTTTGACACGTTTCAGCTACTTTCACCTCGAGGAAGTGCCTGTCTATGTAACAACAAGTCCAACTCCTGGACAGTGAGGGACTTGAATATTAGTCAGTTGGGTGGTTGGCTGTCAGGCATACATTTCATAAGCCCTGCTTTTGTCTGTGCGTGCATCCTCTGAGTAAGCCTCTGATGGTCCTGGTGGTGGTGTGAATTGGAGGAGCCGTGGAAGCAGTGGGGCAATCAAAATGGGAGAAAGTTGGCTTTGTAGCCAGCGACTAGAGAGAGTGAGTCGTGGGGTACGTGGAATTACACTCCGTCCTCCTCGTCTCACCCGCAGCTCGCCTTCCTGCCTTCCTTCCGTCAGCCTGCTTTCACTTCCTGCAGAGGAGCCAGTGTGTAATCAAGTGTCCGTTTGGACACGCAAAGTTTAACCAGCCTAATTGTCACATCACACGGGGTTCATCATTGTCTCTTCATTATTCTCACCACCACCACCACCACCCAGATCTCAGTCGCGCAGAGAAACTTTATTTCTCCACCGCGTAATAAGTAAGTCTCATGAATTAACTTTCACAAAGTCGTCGTCGTCTCACCTTCCTTCTGATCCTTCTCCTCCTTGCTCCTCTTGAGACGCGGATTGGCGTCATCTCCTCGTCATCTTATTTCATCCTCCTCGCCAGCACCAGCACCAGCACTACAATTCAAACTAACTTTCTCCTTCCCCCTCTTCGAGCTGCCAATTAGTACGATTTCTCTGAAATAATTAACAGCCATTCAACTCTCTCTCTGGCGACGACAAAGTTTCTCAATACGTATACATACTTGTCCCAGTTGTTAATTGTACTTTTTAGTTACGTCAGCAAGATTTGCATAGTCCACGCTCATATAATAATAAGACGTATTAATAATAATGGCGTCTCATTAGTTCTTGAGTAGAACTGGTTGTGATCATTGTAAGGGTGCGATATTCACGTGGTTGGGATACTTGCTGGGTGAATTGGATTGTGCATAATTTTCTGATTTATAAATATGTTTGTGTTGCAGAGATTGGACGAACTGAGGAGCAGACAGGTAGGCAAATTGGCCAGTTATTATTAAAATGCCAGCCCCAGGAGGAGCAGGAGCCGATCGGCGAGGCTACGATGAGTTGGAACGAATCCAGATGCAATCTAATCAAATTGTGGACGAGGTAAGAAGAAGTTTTTCATTTCTTTCTTTTTTAATCTCTCTGCCCTTCTCTCCCCTCGCAGTTCTCATGTAAATTTCAGTCAGACGCACAAAAGTTGATTGAAAATGGGAACATGTTGGTTGTGCATCCGATAGTTTTCCAATTTCATGGTGGTAGAAACAAGTAAAAAGAAAAGATGCGGTGGGGAACGATGCGATCTCATCCTTTTTCATGTAAACAACAACAACCCGTCCTCTTTCATGAAATGGGTGAGTGAGTGGTGAGGGAAAGTCTGCGAGAGTAATAATGTTGGCAAGTGGCTCTGAAGTCGTGGCAAGTCTGCTATTTAGCAGAGAGCGTCGCGAGGAATAAGGAGCTGCGGGAGAGTGTGCTTAAAAGCGGCAGGTGGGATTGTGTGCCACACACTGCTTCATAATTTCACTTTCTCCCTCTTGAATTATCATCACGATTTGTGTGTGCCGTGGGGCTTCTCACTTTCACTCCAGTCAGCACGTTTCTTAGGTTTACAGCTCTGCGAAAATGAGACCGACACGTTTGGTTTTCCTACAACCAACTTTGTATCGACTGACTATGTATAACTGCATACTACGAATTAGTAATTCGTAGTACGTATAGTTGTCCACGAGACGTATTGCCTGGACAGAAGAGATACAAAGTTGGTGGACAACCCGAGTTAAATAGTTCTTGGAAGAAGGAAATGTCCGTTGGAAAGAGTATGTTGGGCGGTGGTGGTATTCTGCAGTCAAAAATTGGCGAAGCTATAACGGGACCGAATTTGTGCATGGTTGAGTTGGTCGGAGGAATGTACCTGTGAGATTGAATCGTTATTCTATATTCAAACCTTTCCCCACCCACGACCACCCAGGGTGAAACGAATTTGGACTTGACTCACTTGCTCTCCACCGCACACACACACATAACAAAGCCCGAGGAGTCAAGGAGAGAAAGCGTCGAGGTGAATTGGTCGCTAAATCACCTCTCGCTGAATCTTTTTTTAAGATTTCAACTCCAATTTGTCCCACCCAGCATCCTCTCTCGCAGACTGGCCAGTTGTGGGGGGGATGATGATCTCGTTACGTGACCTCATCCACACACTCGCCGTCTTCTTCTCCGCTGTAGTCACTTGTTTCTTGCTTGATCAGGAGGAGAGAGGAGGAGATTACAAAATCCATCCACTCAAGACTTAAATGAAGATGGATCAGATTCCTCTTCCACTCCATTTGCCTGACCCATTTTACTCACCTGAGATTACCTTCCATCCTTCCTCCTGAGCTTTACTCGCTCCCCAATAAGCGTCACTACTTATATCAATGTCACTTTTCGGGGGGAATAATAGCAGCATAAGCTCACCTTTAACGTCACCCGTAATGACTCCTCTCTCTCTCTCTCGACAAATGTAAGCTCCAGGTCCTATTTACTATCGCTCTCATACCTATGAGCATTCATCCTCTGTCTCAATTATAGAGGCTGAGATGGGATTACATTACATTTATTCTTGGCCAGAATTTCAAGTTGACATCCATTCCGCTGCTTTCATGTCTCTCATGATGCTCGTCCTCCTGAGTAGATGATGATAAGCAACCATTTGTGCCAAACGATCCTTTATCCTCTTCTTGTAAATAAATGTCAATGCTTCCACCACCACTTCACCCCCCTTGTTACATACACCCGATCCTTCTGACTCTGGCTTATTTATAGCTTCCCCTACCAGCAGGTAGGTCTTATTCCTCCGATTATTACTCGACAATTTGACTCATGCCTGTGCACACACAAATGCGACACTCAACTTAAGACTAGGGAACACGGATTTCGAAAATTCTTGCAGAGTTTCACAAAGTGGACAAGTTTTGGAGGAACTTCTCAATAAATATAAAATTGAGAAAGTGAAGCTCTTGTTCATAGGAGGACATCCAGAACGCACGCCGACGTTGGTGTGCTTCGAGGAGGGACGAGAGAATAGGTTGACATCGCTCATTGCTTTCCCTCTCTTCAGAGCCAACAAGTTTCCCAAAGTGAGTTTTATAGGCAAACGCACCACCTGGGCCAACTCAAGCCCAATAACTTTCTCCGGCTCAAGCTGGGATAAAGTTTGAAGAATCTGGTGGTGGGCTCTGTGGAGATGCTTCGCTCCTCTCCCGGGCGTATTCGCTCACTTCATTTTGATTTGATCCATCCATTCCCAACGACTCAGCAGCAACAACAACAACAAGTGTCCCTCTGGACATCCATCCATCTAACGATCCAGTTAGTACTTAGTTTCTGATAAAAATTGAGTCCAAAGTAATTTATAAAAGTTGCCAGAAGACGACCGCCTTAATTTAGTGCGCACCACTTTCTCCCATAGCTCAAACTAGTTATTTCCATGTGTGGATGTATGAACCACTCACAGCCGGCCTAATTACGGAGCAAGTGGTTGGAGGGATAAAAAGGAGGGAGAAAGGGATCTGAAATTATCTGTGAGGGAGCTGGACAAGGTATTTGAGGTGTGAGATTGGTCAGGTAGGAGAGGAAATGGTGGGGATTAGAGTGGAAGTTTGGGGGCAAGCGGGAGGTAAAGGGGTTAAAGGGAATGAGGAGGAGAGAGTAATGCCCGAGGGAGGATTGACTAAAGTTGGATTGGGTGCGGTAAATTCTTCTCAAAGCCAAAGAAAGTTATTTTATTTCGTTACTTCATCCGTCTATTTGTGGCTCGCTCTTTCTCTCTTCTTTGTCTGCCCAGGTAGTCCCCGTCTTCTCTGGGTGGCGTGGTGGTAATGATCTTGTTTCCACAAACACACGTCACGTCATCCTCTCCCTCCTAGATCATCGCCGTGGCTCACCCGCTTGAGAAAGATGCACTCACTTTCTCTCCCACAAATCCTTGCTCCTTTGCAAAATAAACTTATTAGTGCGATGGCTATTACTATTGCGTCTACGCGAGGAGGTGATGTCTACGTGCATATGCAACTTCGCAGTTATGTACCCCAACTAAGCAGCCAGACTATGAGACGCTCTCCGCTGCACAACTTTCTCAATCCCAATTTGATAGAAATTGGAATGAGACATCTGTTTCTGCTGCAATCCGTGTGTGTTTTCTGTGGCGATGTTTCACTCGTGCGTGGGCGTGAGCAATTTCATTGCTGAATTACCGAGGTCAAAGTGGCAGACCTACCTACCTACATACATAAGTACCACACACCAACAATCATTTTCCCACACAAACAACTTGTTCCACCTCCTTCGACTGCACGTCGATATGAGTCCATCCTTGAGAAAGGATTTGTGGTGGTGAATAGCGGTAGGGCAACAATGAGGCATTCGGGGGAAATGTTATTTCTCTCTCGTAATGACAAGCCTAAGACTACTACTTAGGAAGGAAATCAAAGGAGAGAGAGGAGGTTGGGAAGTGGATAAAGCCACGAAAACAAACCAGAGATCAAGATGAATTGAGAGATACTTCATTTACTCTTCCTGAATGCGTGGGGGGATCCGAGCACATTTTCATTGAACGTATATATACGTACCTACATAGTTGCACCAATCTGCGTATCCAGGAATATACGTAGGTACGTGCATACGTATATCGAGTTTATTACCATTGAGATCTGGGCTTTCTCGTCCCCTTCGATCTTGTGTACTTGCACGAGAAGAGACATGAAAGGCTCTCATCCTTTTGTTGCCTAACTCGTGTAAGGAAATTACAAGGACACACAATGCATATTATGTTCCGATTTATTTATCCTGTTCTTCTCTGAAGGAGCGTGTGTCAGGCAGGAAGGCTTGGAATTCTCGTTCCTTGAGAATTCTCCGATCCCCTCTGACGGGTGACATGATGACGTTGACACGTTTCCTGGAGCGACAAATAAGAGGATGATATTATGACGCGTAGGAGGAGTGCAGTTTGCATGGCTGGTCATGACTGCATCGGAACGAGTTAGTCTCCTCATCCCTGGATGGACGTGGACGCAATCATACCTTGTCGACTGAATGTTCACCGGGTGAAAGCGATACCTTCCAAAAATAGATGCACAGCTCATGATCTAAGACTGACTGAGACTCGTGTGCGTTTCATGCCCGGCCATCAAACCCGTAATCACCACACCAGCTCACCTTCCTTCCTTCCTTCCTTGTTGGATTCTTGGAGGATGAGAGGGAAAAAATCAGGCAACTTCTTCATCCGTCGCCTGTTATCCCTTCTGAGTTGATATTTATTCCGGCCAGAAATAATGAGAGGCTTGCATTTTCATCGAGCTGGACGAATGCATGCAAACTTTCTCCAATTTATGTGGGTTGACATCGGCAGGAGAATTTCCTTTGTTTGGCAAATGTTTCGCTCCTACGTACAACTTTTTATCGACACAATCAACTAATTGGCCCGTTTCCTGTCTGGTTCCCTCCTCCGTAGTGAAAGTTTATCCGTAAAATGACATCACCAACATGCTTGGGCTGATTTTTGAGCATAATAGATCCAATCCAGCTGCCATGCGTATCCATGTCGTTGTAGAGATTCACTTATTCTTATATTGCGTCGTATGTGCATAGACATTTGTCGGAATTTCCGCTCGCAATATTTATTCTGGTGGGAGACCCAGCCCCAGGAAATGCTTATTGTTGACAACAATGCTCATCTATGTGTGTGCTCCGTGGAGAGTGAACTCACTCAAGAGCCAACCCAGCGGCGGCGACACGCTAATCTCTTTACATAACTGAACCCTGTGATGCAGATATGATGAAATTGCGACCAAGTTGCTTACAAGTGGAGTGAATCCAAGTGCACACTTCAAAAAACGGGGATGAAAGCATGTCTTTTTGCAGCGGCTAATTGTCTATCCATCATCCAACCAGCCATGCATACACCTACTTGAGCATTTAACTCATGTGCTGCTGATACTATTTTGGAGTGAAAGTTGATCGCGTTGAGATGTGACGCCACGGTGTAGCTGCGAGGTTGGCTGAACAGCATCACCCGCCCGCCACCCACTTCATTTCGTTCCAAGTCACAAGGATATGCATGCTGACTCATTGCTCAACACGGCAAGTTTTGTGGCCTATCGAAATAGCACAACGGCTTAAATTAATTAATTTCGCATAAAATCATGCAAAACTTTGGGCATAAGATTTCACAGGTTTCTCTCCTCCGTTGGTGGGTGGAAGATGGTTATGCAAGATGTATGGATATCACATACTCTATTTGCGTATATTTAATACGTGCCAGGAAAACGAGAACTTTCACACAGCAGGATCGAAGGACGACTTGTTTCGATTCGGTGTTGTTTGTGTGCTTAGTATGGATTCCAAGATGTTGATAAGCCACTTGATTACGGGAAATGAAATTAAATCTCCTTCCTCCTCTTCATACCCGCCATCTCCCTCGCATTCATGCCAAGCCCCGATCCACTCAAAAAAGTGAAGGTTCCTCCTCCACGTGAGGGAGAAAGCTTGGCCACCTCCGTGAAATGGGAACAAGGGACTGACTAGGAAAATAAATTGAATTTTTGTCCTCTCTCCTTCCATTAGTTGCAACAAGGCCTTGTGTGCTTTCCCCCAATCTATGTGTGTACCTTCTCCTCTCGTCTTACGCAGTAGAGAAATAAAGAAATCACAATTATTGCATTTTTTAGCCCCCTCCGTGCAATATTTGGTCGCCACCGTGTGCTTTTTCGTGAATGGGCTTTTTCGTATTAAGTCGATTATGCTTAAGTATTGCTGACTGAGGAAAAAAACGGGAACAATCCAGCGACTAATTGGAGTAGCTGGAAATAGATGGACGGAGAAGGGAGCGAGACTCTGGTTGCTTCTGCTTGTATGGCAGGATGAAGGAGGGAGTGCGCACTTGCTTTCTCCTGCTTTATGGCGAGTTACCCACACCACCAGTTGCTCCGCTCCTTCCTTCCTGCCTGCCTACTAATGCCACGGCTTGGCTCACTCCACTCACTTCCTCACCTGTCCTCTCATTCATCTTCTGCCTCTCGCTCAATCCTGCCACAAAAACCACCACACCAACAAACACGACGCGTCCTTTCTCTCCAACTCCCCATCCTGCATTCCTTCCGAAGCACACACTGCTGACAAACACCGGCTGGGCACTTGTCCCCAAAAACCGTCCTTATCCCCACCACCACCTGAGCAGAGTGAGACTGACTAGGCTGCGGCTGCTAATTGCGTGTGATCCCAGGGTGCTAATTTCCCCTGGTGTGTGTTTGGTGGTCGTGTTCTAAATCAGTCTTGGACTGGGTTGGAGAGTGAAAGCGAGAGGACTCAATTAGTGAAGTATCAACCAACAGACAAACTTTTAGTGGTCCATTACACTAATTGACTGATTGATTGGAATGATGGCCACCCAACGTCGCTTCTACTACTCGTTCGCCACGGCGGAACATCTCCAAAACCGGGTTCGTTTTCAATTTGGGTCTTTTTCTCCATTCTCATTGTTGTTCCTCATCGGTCTCAATCTCCCTCTTGGCCATGTCCCAGCCACCGCTCCATCTCGCTCCTCCGCCAACTTGCTCCGGCCCCAACGACGAGATTCCCACACATCCACTTCATTACGATTCCATTACACACACAAAATGATAAATTGGCAATGTTGGTTTTTTCTGGTTTGGTTGGGTTGCATAAAATGTCTAAATTTGGAAAGTTGAGCCGATCCCCCAGTGCATTTGGTAATTAGGATGGCAATGGCATCGGAGGAATGACGCACAGTTTTTTCTTGAAATACACATGCATATTACTTGCGAGGTAGGAAGGTAGGCAGACAGTGGAGGCTGCGGCATACATTCGTAACCAGCTCGGTCTCTTGCTTTCCTGCCTATTCAAATTAGAAGAGAACATGTAATGCAATATTCCCGTCGGCCTGTGCAGCACACACAAATGGGGCTGAGACGAAGGAACTTTTGAGTCTTGCCTTGGGAATGGATAGACGTGTCACCTCGGATAATAGGACCGCAGAGGTGGTTAGCTGAACCTGTCATCCACCCGAGCAGCGAAAAGTATGTCTGTCTGTGTGTAATCGCTGACCGCAGAATTGGGTTGGTTTTGCAACAACATTGCACCTGCCTCTTCTGATTCTGTGGGAAATGTGAGAAGAGAAAGGAGTGCGACTGTGATTATGAGCAGGTGAGAGCCCACCACCTGCGTCACGTATGTAGTTAAGATACCCACACCATCATCATCACCATCACCACCAAACATATATAATCATGGATCACCCTCTGGCAAACTTTCTCCTGCTTGAAATTGACTCTTTCTCTCTTTAATCTCGAGACGAAGTTGATTTAAGGAAAAGTTTTAGTCTGCTGAAAGAGTGAAATAAAATAAAAGCGAGCCAGATTTCAGAATGGAATTGAATCAGAGAAAGAAAGAGAGAACGCCACACCACAGACAAGACTCTGTCCTCCTATCGCATATTTTCGGTTTGGAAGCTCACACAGCTATGCAAATACACCTCTCAAATGAAATCAAGAGCAACTTTTTAGCCGGAGGGAGGGCTGAGTATATGGAATGCAAGGCTGGGTAGTCCAAGTAGGCATCAGCACATCATCTGCTTTCACCAGCCACGTTACAAAATTAGAATTCGCATTTTCTCTCCACTTTTATTTATGACTTGAACGGGATTTAAACATCATCGCCACGACCACCACGACCATACAGGCTCCACCCAAGGCTTACATATGCATGCACATATTCTCGCCTGCTTCTCTTTGACTTTGTTGCACATAATCAGATAAGTGGTCTGCCAGAAATACAAAATAAATAGGATTATTATCATCTCCTTCTTCTTCTCTCGATGAGTTTTTCTGGGAAAAATGGCTTCTGCTAAGGAGATTTTAGTACAATAGACGGATTTTCATTGTGGAATTATCATGATCACAACATGATAAATACTACAGTTTGCTAAAGCAAGCGATTCCCATCTCTCTATCCATCCTTAGTTTCCTCTCTCCAATTACGTGCCCCACAAAGATCTCCTCCACGCATATTGTTGAAGATGAAATTAATTTTGGGAATTATTATTTTATTTCTTTCAGTCGTTGGAGAGCACTCGGCGGATGCTCCAACTTTGTGAAGAGGTAAGTCTTACAACAACAAAAAAGAGAGGAAAATGGTCCACGTGCAGTACTACAAAGGACGACGGAGTATTAGACATCATTACTTATTTAATTATATTATGGATCCGCCTTCTTGAATAACTTTGGTCGGCTTCTTGTCGGCTGGTGGGTGGAGCCCTTCACTTCTCCTTCTGGAGGAGGAAATGGAATTTAAAGAGAGAAAGCAAGAGAGAAACGCTGGATGTGTGAATAATGAATGAGTGACAGCAGCCAAGCCAGCCGAACAGCAAGTAGTTGTGTACATATCATGTACATAGGTACGTACGTACACATGTACCTGCTCGACTTATTACACGGAGCATGGCAGCCTTGGCAGAATTGCATTCCATTCTGCCTCCTTGTATCGTGTGTTTGGGATGAAATTCCTGAGCAACGTGTGCTTCAGGAGGATTGAGAGTTGAGATTTGACGATTGAATGTGAGAATGTCGACTTGGGAATTGGCAGGAGGAGAGAGGAGCACGGGAGTGAAAGTGAGAGAGCACTCTGGAAAAACTCCAGGTGGTCGTAAGCTGGGAACAATCGTCGTGCTCTCTGTTCCTCCACCTCCTCGTATGTATTTCCCCCGTTCCGTGCATCTCTGAGCCTTGATGGCAGGCAGGCAGGCAGCAGGAGGACATCACGTGATACACAGGATTAGAACAGCCAGGACGACCCTCCTTGTTTTATTTGACTTGGTCCATGTTCCAGGTGGAAGGAGCAAAACCTACAAAATAAAATATTTCACAAGGCCCACTTTCCCCAAATGCGGGTAAATATAGGCAAAATGTGCACAATTTCTCCTCGACGCTGCCAGCCAATGGAGATATGTGGAGCTAACTAGTGAGGCGGAAGATAATACGGGGAAAGTGGAGACGACCTGTTGCTTTCACCACCACTCGGTTCACACTTTCTCTCTCTCTCTCTCTCTGACACGAATAAATATCTCGCGTGTGTACGAATTCATGCCCATTCGCGTAATCTTGTCATAAATTCATGTTCTTTTTCTCCTCCTTCTTGCATTCGCCTTCTCTCGCCAGAGCAAGGAAGCCGGGATTCGCACATTGGTGGCTCTGGACGACCAAGGAGGTTCGTATTCAATTTGGCTGCTATTTTTACACCGCAGTCATTCGTCCCATTCTCGCATTATTATTATTTTATTATTACGTTGCAACCCGATGCGATCATCCCAGTGATCTTTCTATTTAGTTGGCTTTCTCTTAGTTCATGGCGTCGTGGCGATAAGGATGATGCGGTTTTTCCATGCTTTATGTACTGACGGAAACCTTATCGCTTGTTGCACTCGGCGACCAAATCACTACAATAGTTGCGAAAGAAAGGCATCATTATTTTTTATTTCGTCCGTCAAGAACCCACATGAAATATTAGTGGGAATTGCACCCAGCCATGTACTCGTCCCATGGCTGCATACATGTACGTATGCACTACCACTACTACACAGTCAGCCAGTATGCTCCCCTTGAGGCTTTTCTTCCACATTTGTTATTTTATTACGAGTTCTGACAAGCTTTCACAACTTTTGCTTATTTTTTTACCAAGCCGACTTGAATTTCTTGGGGAGAGAGGAATACGGCATCGAAATCCACATTGAGTAAAAAAACATGCAAAATACAAGGTTACACTGCCATCCGTGCAGCCTTGTCATGGTTTGTTTGTCCTGCTGATACCCAGCCTGTCCAAATACCTGTCTCTGGAAGTCTGAAAACTCACTACACTGCTACCCCTGGGGATAACCTGCATGGCCACACAAGGGTCTGCAGCAGTTGGAATGGCGCACTCGAGTAGTAATCCAGCAACAGATACGTCGTACATAAAAACATTGTAGACTTGGCATTTGATGAAGCGGCTTCAAATTTTGCTGGGGATGAAAGGTTGCTGCAGACGAAAAGGTGCACCTCTGCTGCTACATGCTCTCATTTTAGCCCTGAGCTGAATCCATCCATCCATCCGAGAAAGACGGTTGGATGGATGAAAGTGAAACGAGAGCACGTTTTAGCTAGGCTGTCGAGCTCTCGGCCTGGGTTTCATTCCATTGAATTTCAATAAGTACTTCCAAAAATAAGGAGCATGGAGAAATAATTATGATGGTATTATAACAGTGGTAGCATGTCCTCCTCCACGCGGGTATTATCCTTCGTCACCCTCGTCACATCAAATATGTATGCATTCTTCTCCACACACTCCACTTCACTCTTATTCGCATCTATTGTATGCACAGTGGCAACATGGAGGTTATAATACACACATTACACGCTTTGAATATTGTATGATTTACTTGTTCCGACTGGGAATTATTGCATGCCCTTGTGTCCAACCCGGTGGAATTTGATCTCTTCCTGTATTTACTACAAGGATGGGATAATACCCATGACAGCCCAGGCAGCCTCAGGGGGACACAGCGGGTTGAAGTTCAGGTTCATTTGAGGAAATGATGGAAGGAATTGCTCAAGCAAAGACAAATATGTAGCAAACTGAGGACAAAGTAACTACACGTTACAGACAAACGGATAGGGAAATGTGGAGCCAGTCCATTCCATTCATCTGCAAACTTGTGTGATCCTACGCAGCTCACATCCACCCATTGTTACGAGCTTTCTCCGATCGAAATATGGTAAACTAGTGAGAAATCAGGGCACGTATGAGGACTACTTGAACCGCACACGGTCGTGTCCGTAGGAAGGGACTGGGGAATAATGGAAACAAATAGCGTGGATGCATGTTGTGGAAGTGAACCAATTTCGGCTATTTCTAGACTTTGCAAACTTCATTATTGTTCATTTATTTATGTATTCCTTCTGTCGTCGTCCTTCTCCTTTCGAAATTCTTGCTGCGTTTCTTCATGCCTCAAACCCAGGACGGATAAAGAAATCAAAGGATTACGATGACAATATAATATCCACCGACCAATATCCCATTCAAAGTCGCTCTCTTTCTACCCCATACAAAGCCATCCGTACTTCTCCGACTTCCATATCGACAAATAGACACAGACTTACGAAAGACCTACAGAAAAAAAAATCAGCAAGTTCATTCGATTTTTTGCCTTCTTTTATTTTATTTTTTTTATTTGTAGTCTGAAGATGCTGGAGCCAAAACGTTGGATATGTTGAACACCCAGGGCGGTACGACTCACACATGTATAGCTTCCCCATAACGCTCTATTGTTTCGCACCTCTTTGATTTCTGCTTTCACGTAGCGATTACGTTACGGATGCTCTATTCCCACCCATTCGGAGTGGGTGCAAAGCGTGGCAACTTTTAATTTTAATTGCCTCTCCCGTGAAGAAGACGAGAGAAGGGTAGCACCGATATAATCCCATCCAACGCCAGGCTTATCGTTTGTATAACAACCTGTGAAATAGGCAACAAGTGAATAACATGTATTTATTTATGTAACAAGGCGTTGCTCTCGTGTGCCACTTGATGATAGGCTTCTCCCCTCGTCGTCTAGGCTGGCGAAACGGGAGGACGACTTGAACATTGATTGAAACCTAAATAATTTAGTCGGCCACTTAACCAACTCGTGTTCACTTTATGTTTTTTTCTCTCCCTCTTTCTTGTTGTTCAATAATGTCTCCATTAGACGGCTGGCTCTATTTTGTTTGCTTTTTACTGCTACACAACTTTCCCTAACCTCGACCACGTATCCCTCATCCATATCTCACCACTTTGCACAACTTTCTCCGCCGCCACCACACGCAATTTTATTCCCCTTGCTTGCTTCCTCGGCTACTTGGGAGAGTGGAGCCGCGGACGAGTGGAGAGGAAGAAGAGCATCAAAGTGAAAGTACATGACAATAATTATTTCCAACGTGTCGTTTACCTCCTGAGTGAGCTGAGTGAAAGTTGTTCTTTTGCGGTTGCTGTATTTTCTCTGCTTTCATAATTCAGTCCCCAGCAGCCCACTCGTCCAGTGCTGTCTGGCTCTATCTGCCCGCACGACGACCACTGATACCTAAGAGCACTGCCCCACGTACATATTTATTTATTTGCCTTTCTCAGGCGGCTTAGAAATTCCTCTGTTTTCTTTTCTCGTCGTCCGCTCAGAATGTCACTTCACATGCGGCATACGATTCCTACGTATCCCTACGTTCGTTCGTAGGTAGGTATGCCATGTATGGATCGCTTATCATTATGTCACGGTTGTGTGCATTTCCTTCTCTCAATGTGTCACTTTTGTACGACGAACGACGGCTGTTTTTGCTTTCCTTTCATCCATGCCTTACTTTCTCCGATATGTGATGATGGGGGAGAGCAAAACTGGTGTGGGCGGGTTGAAGTCTTCATCTATTTAAACGCAGACTAATGAGTATTAAGAGTAATGATAATGGAACGTGTGAACAGAACAACTGGACAGAATCGAGGGTGGCATGGATCAAATCAACAACGACATGAAAGAAGCAGAAAAGAACTTGACGGGGATGGAGAAATGTTGTGGGCTGTGTGTCCTCCCATGCACCAAGTGAGTCTTGTGAACTGAAGGCTTGGGAAAATGATGCACTGATCAATAAACATGTTCACATCTTTTTGCAGGACCACCGGATTCAAGGAAGATTCATCCACATGTATGCACCCGTATTTAATGAAGTACTTAATGTTAGATAGAAACAATTACGAGTTAATTTTTTTGTGCCATGTGTAAAAGCAGAGCCATGGTCTCATAATTAATTAAGTAATTGGATGGATCGTGATTGCAGAACGTGTCATTAATTGCGCTTTGATTTTATGTTTTTAGGGAAGGGGAATGAAGATGGTCGCGTCATAAACAATCAGCCTCAACAGCAACGCTACATGGATGAGCGGTCGCCTACGAATGGGGTCTCTGGTTCCAACTCCTCCGCGTCTGGACCCTACATTCAAAAGTAGCCAATCCCAGATTAAAAATTTAGCCAGCATTGTGCATCTTAAATTGATATTGTCACTCATGTGGTGGGTCAACGTGTGTGGAGTATTATTCACATGACGTGGTCTTGTTTTCTAGAATTGTTGGTGACGCACGAGAGGATGAGATGGACGACAACATGGGCCAGGTATCTACCATGATAGGAAACTTGAGAAACATGGCGATCGACATGGGGACAGAGATTGAAGGGCAGAATCAGCAGGTGGATCGCATCAACCTCAAGGTATGGTCAGAGAGTGGAGCATAATAATTGCTCCCGATTGTCGTCATAAATTAGTTCATCCTCCAACCTAACGTTCTCCTTTTCCTCTTCACAGGCTCAATCCAACGAGACGAGGATAAAGCTCGCCAACGACCGAGCAAATAAAATACTTACCAAGTCCTAATTTATTTACGTGCATGAGAAGAGTGGAAGGAATTGCGGTGGTGCTGTGTCGGCCTGGGGAAAGTTACTGGAAATTAGGTTACGAGAACGACTAAGAGAGAAAACAAAAAAGGATTAATATCAGACGACGCTAGATTGTTATTCCTATTCATCCTATTCACTTTCTTACGGGCAGAGTATTTATGTAATCTTACGGGCCTAGCTTTATTTATATCCTACCAATTGTATTGTTACTTACTGCGTTGTAAGCTTAATCAGGCCACCCGTTTTTTATTCACATGATATGGATTTAAATATTTAATATATACACAAACTGCACCATGTAATGATGCAATGATATAAGTAGATCACATCAAGATGATACCAAAGAAATAAATAAGCTATTTATATTACCAATTAAATTATGTACCATATACACGTACGTACGTAGGATGTATGAAAAAGTAAGCTGGTAGGTTTTGAAATTATTATGTGTCCAATTTACCTTGAAATTAGTGTGAGATGCGTAAAGAAGACTTATTGTGTACACCTTTTCACTTGTATGCTCACATTTCACGGACGCGTGATTGATGAAACCCTGCATGTTCATACTTAACTAGAAATTAGCTGGAAACATTGTGTACGTGTAACCAATACCCAAAGTGAAATTATTATATCAAGTCAAACCAAAATTCCATCCGAAAACCAAACTCAACGCTATACGCTTCCTTCCCGACTGACCTCCTTCTCAACCGCCTACCTTCAATCCGACGACCGATACCCTTATGGGTTACCAAGGGTTTGAACCACATTCGAACCCTTCTTGTCCCTCTATCTACTATGACAATACACTGCTCCACCCACTCACACCTTCACCCGTCCCGTATTCACCTCACCCACACGGACTACCTTCCACCTTCTTGAGATCCACCATCATTTTCCTGAGCTTCTATCAAACAATCGACCTCAACAATCGTATTAATCCCGTGTCTTTAATTCACAAAGCAAGCAAATACTACATTGCGTCTCGTAATGAATTATTCTATTGAAATCAAAAAGTACATGTCTCAAAAATTCTACTATATTCTCCTGCTTATGTACACGAATCCTTGCGCTCTTACAAGTTTGTATAGCGTATAAAAATATATATGTATGTAACAATAGCAGAAAATCTATAAAATTATTCATATCTCATTGGTTCAGTGATAATTGTTACCTAATAATGTTGACCTGGATGACGATAATTTGCTATTTGAACGAGTTGACAATATTTCCAGAAAGTATTTAATACTGGCATGAGGGTGGAGAGAGAGAGATATGAAAAATCGGCTAGTTCTGTGCTAATTCATAAGTCGTAAATACAGGATATATAATTGATGTCTGTACTTATCCATACATTTCAAGAATGATATAAAAGTTTCCTGTTTTTCCAACCGAAGCTTAAATAGTTTCGCCTGTTATACGTAAGAATATAGCTAGTTTGGTTTGTATTTGGTTAAATGTTTAGTTCACAATAAGTACACTGACCTATAAAATATCTACATATTCTCCGTTCTGCATGTGTAATATTATTCGCACATTTTTGAATTATGTAATTTAAATAATCCATTCGTTTGACAATTGCATTTGTAAACCAAGCCGGAATAAGCGGAATAAATAAATATGTTGTGTAGGTGGAAAAATCTATAAGTTTCAGTTTTTAGCTCCGAGTCAGGGCTTATGGAACCACCATGTCCGAATTTATCTACATAGAAGCGGACTCGGACTCTGACTTGAGCTAAATCATCACTGTATTTTACAAGAGATTAAGAATTGGCTATATTTCATGTTAAACAAATCCTTATCCATCACATAGTGGCGAAACTGATGAACTCGGCGGGGTAAAAAGTTCACGAGTTTCGGTGGGAATTTTGAATTATTTGCAAAAAACTGCAAAACTCATCTGGAGTTGTTTATGTTTTTAGTGGTTTCCAGTGTGTGGTGGCAGCTTCCCACCACACATACTCTATGACGAGTTGAGACTAATCTCAAAAAGTAGTACAATTTTGACATCATTTTTCACTTTGCGGGTTTCAATGTACACGCATAAGTATGAAATTTTCAGAATATAGCTGTCATTAGTTTTGCAACAAATTACCATTCATCGATAAGCAATTGTGATTGTAGTTTTATTTATATTAATCAATATTTGTGCAAATTTCGGTAATATTGAGATTATTGATTAATATAAATAAATCTACAATCACAATTGCTTATCGATGAATGGTAATTTGTTGCAAAACTATTAATAATTATATTGTGAAAATTTCAAATTTTTGCGTGCACTTTGAAACTCTCAAAGTGAAAAATACGGTCAGACTTCTGGACTCATGCGTAGTATAGAGAGGAAATGCAGAGCGAGAGCTCTTCTCGCTCAATAGAGCGAGGAGATAAAATATCACGCAGGCTTAAAATATTTAGTCTACTGAAATTGTCAAAATTTAGTGGCTGCATCAAACAATCTGATGCAGTGGCGTTCCGTGGATTTGGTTGGACTCCTGGAGCCTATCCGTAGGCACATGTCTCAAACTCTCAACTCCAGATACACATATTTACATGTGAACATTCAACAAGCGGAGTAACAAAAGCTCATCAGAAACATGTCATGTCTGGGAATAAAACTTTCTCCTACTTTCTCCTCACATTGACCTCCATCAATGTGGTGGCTAGCATACCATTTGTATTACCAAATGGTAGCACATAGGTTTAAAGCAATACAAATACAGAATAAAATATTGGCAAATAAATACAATTGTAAATATTCGAGGGGCCACGGGTATCATGAGTATTTCAATCAACTGTTAAATGAATGAAGCGTATAAACATAGGAAAATAGTTAGTCGTGAGTCGGACATAATAACATTAAGCATGCAAAGAATTCCACATGCAAATAGGACTGAGGGTTTTCTTACGGTGTCGGGTGAGTCATATTAAGCATGTCAACGATGTTGCAGGTAGTACGAATGCAGGATACAACTACATATGTACACCTGCATTCAGGTTTCATAGAAAATAGACTCTACAGGTAGCATATACCTAATATTTACTTGGCACAGATGATTCACATGAAAATAATCACCTTTTCCTGTGCCCATCCGTAAGAGCTGTCACGAATTAGCTTTATTTGTAACTAACCGTGGTTCCTGTGTCCACTTTATCCAGTTAGGAATTGGACACCAGCATGGTTTAGGTTTAGCAGGATTTCGGTGCTCGTTTTATGGACATACTGAAATTATCAACATTAACTTTTAGCTTACTCTACTGATTGAAACTGTGTGGGTCCAGTGACAAATATTGAGCAAGTATGAGCTACATCAATGAATATCAAGCCTCGAGGGAAAAAGGGTTTCGAAGACATATCAAAGTGGACATTGACAAACTGCATGAGGTAAAAAAAACAAATTTTACACGAACCATTACATTTTTATCCAAAATTGTTTTCAAATCATACATGCATAGTTTACTTGTAATTTCAGGAATGGTACCCAGTCTTCATGAAGGTATGCGTGTTTCACAGTGGTAGACTACCACTGGTAGTAGATATTAATGATATTATTTACTAAATAATAAATATATGTACTTATCAAAAAAACACATGCAATACAATACATGAAATTATTAATAAGTTTTGGATTTAATTTGAGCAGTTTAATCCTGACAAAAATGGAGAAGTTCGACTAAAAGAAATGCGTAGACTTCTTCAGGTTTTGGGTGAAATGCATCGACTCATGCCGGACGACGCCGTGGATGAAATTTTGTTACTGGCTGATAAGGATTCGAATGGGAAATTAAGCTATGTGGAATTTATAGATTTGGTACAGACAAAAACATTAATTACAAATTAGACAAAAGTAATTTGACTGGGTGATTGTGATTTGTCGAAATATGTAGATTATCGGATACGACTTGAATCGGAAGCAGCGTCCCCTTGTTCGTCGAGCCTTGTGGGCAGCGGCGCTCTCCGTCGTGCCAAAAAACGAGAGGACCTACGTTTCGCAGTACAGCTGCAGCCCTCCGCCCGTCTTCATGGTAGCCATCAGCATCATCGAGATTGCCATTTTCGTCTACCACTCACTGGACTTTTCTAACAAAGGTCACAGCGTTGGATTCAACAGCAGACAAGTTCCAGACGACTCGGTCCTCATTTACAACCCGTACCGACGATATGAGGCGTGGAGATTCGTGTCCTACATGTTTGTTCATTCCGGGTAAGCCGATGATTACTGATGCCAACTTATCTTAACCACTGCATTTAATTATTAAATATGTATCTCAATGGTTCAGATTTATGCATATAATTTTCAACGTTCTGGTTCAACTCGTGATTGGTATTCCGCTTGAAATGGTAACTACATTTTCATGTCTGCAAACTTGTAAATTGTGTAAGGAGTGAGTGAATGTAAGGGGTTTGTGCAATATCTGGCTGGCAGGTTCACAAGTGGTGGCGTGTACTTCTCGTCTACTTTGCTGGAGTGTTGGCAGGGTCACTTTGGACCTCAATTACCGACCCCAATGTCTTTCTCTGTGGAGCTTCAGGAGGCGTTTACGCTCTCATCTTTGCACATTTGGCTAGTGTTATTTTGGTAAATATGTCGTCGAATGCGTATCATTTATCAAATTACTAATTTTTGTTAATTGGCAAGCAGAATTGGTCTGAAATGGAGTTTGCATGGGTTCGGTTAGCGTTTTTTCTAATTCTCACTCTAACGGATGTCGGTGTTTCGGTTTACGATAGATACTTTGAGGCCAATTCCAACTCGAAGGTAAATACAAATCTGGACTGGTCTGCTACTTATACCAGAAATGGACAAATGTGACAAATTATTGTATGTATTTATTCACGGCAGATTGGATACGTGGCTCATTTGGCTGGGGCCATCGCCGGTCTCCTGGTCGGGATAAATGTGCTGAGGAACTTGCGGAAAAGGACGTGGGAGAAAGTCGTCTGGTGGGTGAGCCTCCTCGCCTACGTCGTCCTCATGACGGTTGCGATAGTTTGGAACATTTGGGATCCCGATAACCATTTCCCTCCTCCCAGGAAATAAATTATTAGTTTCTGTTACGTTTTCTTCGATTTAAGAATACATATTTATTTATTAATGGCAAATTGAACAGTTATAGAAATTTCCATCCATCGGGTTTTTAAGTGTACTTCAATTTTGTACGGATTTTTATACGTTCCTTTAATAAATGGGTTGAATAAGAGTATTGTGTCGGATGTTCCATAAATTGTTCCGTCGATTTTAAGTAGCTACATGTGCGTGTGTCTGTCACAATTTCCATATGGAATCTATGTTTATAACCGACATTTTTAGCATCAAACAATGAGTTGCGTCCAATAACGGAAGGAAACTGGAGGACACGAATATATATTCCAACGGGTCAGCACTGCACAATACTCCACTTGCAGAGAAGAGTCGTGTTACTAGGCTTGTGCATTTTGCCAACAAACCAGAAGTGAATAAAATACGCTGGTAAAACGCAGCATTCAATTTCTATATGCATGCACGTCCAATCAGCTTTTTTACCACCACCACCTGAGTTCCCTCACCTGAGAAGAAGCCAAATTGCACTCCTTCTTACGCCTTACTCCCACTATGGACGGACTTGTACTCCCATGACGTTATGCACCACACGACCAACAAATGCACCTTTAGTGGTGATCAGTGCTTTGATCTGAACACTAGTCGTCAAAAGCGTTAAGAAGCAGCGTCTCACTTGGTTTATCATGCTTCTCGCTCGCCCCCATCGAACAATTCCTACTCGCCTGCTTTCCAACAACCTCACTCACTCCTACTCAAAGAATTTCTAGTTTCAACCAAACTACAAAAACCAAATCGGATGAAAACCCCTGTTTTGGAAACGCGGAAGTGCGTACAAAGAAACCATTCCCATTTTTGCATGGAAGGTTCTCAGTTTCCGGAACTTGTATTGGCTGGAGTCGAGAGTATTTGTGGAAACAAAGTGTAGGCGTGATCACCGTGGCGGTTACAGGATAGTCGGATCAATTCCTTTCCGATAAGCAGCTTACACGTGGAGGCTTGTGCAATCTGCAAGATAATCGTGTCCAGAAAAGTTATTATTATTATCCTCACAGAGAGGTTGACGTTGACATAGTCCATCCATCCATCCACATTGATTTCCTATTCCCTCCGTGGCTGGATATCGATCAATACGACGCTGTTGCCGCCGGTACAAAAGCCGGAGAGAGGGTGAGCCAGCCGTTGAGTTGGGAAGCGTCCGACCATTTCCAAGCGACAATTGCCACAACAAGCTTTTTGAGCGTTCGTTGAGTTGAGAATTTTCTCATCAGCCTGATATCCAATAACAACGATTGACTCTGTTTCGCGTGCCCGTCAACATTGACACATTTTATCGTTCAGTAAAAGTAGTATGGATTTTCCATAAAAACCCGAACCATTGACCATCGAAAAACTTATCTGAAATTAATGGAACCCCGTCCAACAAGACATTGGTCAAACAGACGAAACAACTGTCCCACCCCGACCTCAGCATCAATACGTGTTGAATAAAAGTGGTGTAAAAACTATTTTTTCCCCTCTCTTGTCTCTTGCTTAATAGTTGTAACGGTTTGAAGTTATTCGCGTCAAAGTGGTGACTGACTGAGTCACCAGAGCAAAAAATGTGTGCGAGTTGTTTTTTACGCTGAAAAATGTGACCAATTTCCACTCTTGTGAGCAGAGAAGAGGACAAAGAGGAAGGCGATAGTTTTTTGTTTACTTATTTTCGTGAAAATGAGCTGCGACTCGTCCATCGCGGACTTGACGATGATGGAGGATGAGGACTGCAGGGAGCAGATTCTCACCCACATCAAGGAGGTAATTAAATTTATTCCCCCTTTTCTTGTCTCCCCTCGCTCGGTGGGAAACAAAGGAGATTCTGACAATTTGAGACAAAACAAAAGAAGACACGTCTCGACTCTCAACAATAAAATGGCCAATCAACCGGGTTGAAAACTTTTGATCGTGAAAATTAAGAGCAAATGATTTAGTTGAGATTGGGCCAAAATAAAAAAAAATGTTTTGCCACGCCGTGCTTTGAATGGAGTTCGTGGTTCGTAATTTTGACAAGAATTAATTTGCCGGCTCAAATGTATACAGCATTTAATATACACTGCTCTGATTCCTATATATTATTTAAAAATCTCTCACGAGATTTTAAATAGTTATTGCTGCTGCTGTTTTCTAAACACTTGAATTCTCCAATTTGCAGAGCATAATGTGACCATCTCACTTTTTTCTCTCGTTTTTCAGCTTCACGAGGCGGTGGTGGAAATGAAGAGTGCCTTCACCACGGCGCAACTCCAACTCCAGAGCGTGTCAGGTGACGAGGAGGCCCTGTCCCGGGTCAAGACGGACTTGGAGACTGCCCGGGCAACCTGCGAACGCCAAGGGGGTGACATCCTCCAGCTGGTGCTGGCCTTGAAGGGGGAGGTCGCCTGCATCAAAGAGTCCTTCCAGTCGTCCCAGTTCCTACAACATGGACTCCAGTCCTCCGTTCACACGCTCCTCCTCGAGAGGGACCTTCTCCTCGACGAGCTGGCCAAAAATGGGGCCATCTCAGAAAATCTCAGGTGAGCATCTTCACTACTGAACCATGTCCGTCCATGTTTGTCCATGGGCAGAAGTAATAGTCCATAACTCTCGCACAATAATTGCACCTCGGAGTTATTTCCGCGAGGCTTTTACGTAAAATTACATAATCACCGTCATTATCTCATCATCAGCGCGTTTTTTGGCCCGGGTTATTAGTAAATAAATAAATGTTGGTCGTGACATTGAAAGTGTTGGTTGTTTGACGAACAGTCTTCGTATGATTCTCTTGTCTAACAACGCCGAGTTTAGTTGGGATGAAACTGCTTAAAATTGTGTAGTTTTGCTATGAATACTTACCTATTTTATCGTCATCATAGTTTTAGGCGATTATCTGCCATGTCATGGTCATCTCATCATCGCAATTGTAAACTCAACCCAAGTGGAGTTCCTTTTTACGCTAAAATATAAAATTACACAAGCCAAGCTGCCGTATAACTAAACGATTTAATAATAAAAGAGCCCTGAGACAAGACAAGTCAGGAACTTAAAACTCACTGAAAGATGACTCTGCACATTTTTTTTTACTTTTCTAAACTTGCAAAAATTGGAGATGGGATGGAAAACAAAAAATTGCCACTCGTTTTGTTCATGCTATTGCTAAATGTGAATAAAAGATCTTGTAACTCAGCCCGGAGAGCAGGTCCATTGTTGCTCGAAACGTTAATGACTTTTCGATGGAATCCTCCTCTGCCGAATCCCATTTGCGAATCTGCCCTCCGCGCAAAAATCTCCAGCCTGAGAAACATCCCCCTTGAAGGGTTTATTCCACGTCAAAATCCTTTGAGACGCTCGTTTTTACGACCTTTTGCATGGCATGGGGAACCATAAAGCTGACGACGAGAGGGATGAGCCAACACTCCAACTTTTAAAAATGTTGAGTGGTGCTATTCATCTCTTCGCGAAAGAGGAGCCAAGTATTTCGCTGTTCTTAGGTGGTCATTAAACAATCCGATTGAAGCAAGTTGAAGAATAGTAGGCACTCGTACAAAAAGGGAACATTTAACCCAAGCAGGTATATACTTCATGCCTAACAAACCTTGAACCAAGATGGAATAAAAGTTGACGATGACGACGACGTTCCGAATTTGTCATTCGCTTAAAAATTAAATGCATATGTTCAGGTGAATACTTCAACATGTTTACGAAGCTGGCTCGCATAAGGAGTGAATGGCGTTGTGTTTGCTTATTATTATTATTATTCATTAAACAATTCCCCACCACAGTTGTGTCTGTTTTCTGACACTACTACGTACTTGTTTATTACAGTATGAAGCGTGTTATGTCATCCTGTCGTCGTCCTAGAATTGCGGTTTGTTAGAAATATGTAGGTGTTGTGTGCGTGGTATTGCAATAATCCGTATTTGTCGGTTCCGGTCGATTTTGGCACGTTATTAGCCGGAAATTCTCACGGAAAGGTGCAAATCTCCTCTTGACAAACAATGCGGAATCCTGTTATCCACTGTTTCTGCAACAAACCAGATAATTCATTTCGTGTTGACTGCCGAGTCTCATTTTTCTCCGATTGATATTTTTTACTCTGCTTCACACACTGTAATCGCAGGTGAGCTTGCTTGATCTTCATATTTATGAACAAGTATGGCAACCAACCCCACAATAAGAGTCAGTCACTCGGTCCCACCCCAACGGTAAATAACGCCAATTTAAAATGTAACGAAGCATTTACTTATCTTACGTATTGTGTTATCGGTGAATGCATTGCGTCGCCCATGAAATTGCATTATCGCCCATTTACAAGTCACGACTTATTGGTCCATCAGTCCACCCAAGTAATTGTTCCTTATTTCTTTATTTCTCTCTCTAATTGTGCTACATTCTTAAAAGATCAAATCTAAATAATAACAATAAATACTTTATTGTGCATTATAGCTCGCACAACATTATTATTACACATCTGACCTAAGACCCTAGTCTAGTAACACGGTGGTCGTGGTCAACATGGCTCATTTCTTGTCTCCATCATTTGAGTGCAATAATATTAAAAATGGAAGCAATATTTTTCGACAATGTCCACTCAAACGGCGAGGAGACCATTTCATAGATGGCTTGACAAAGGGGCTGGTGAAACGCTTTGTTGTTGTTATCAATCGCGTCATTCATTACAAGGTAGTCAGTAGTTAAAAGTTGAGAGAAATCGTGATTGCAATCGGTTCTGAAAAGCAAATCCAAATAACAAAGTGCAATCCTTCGCAGTGGCTATAAATATTTGTGCCTACGACTTACATATGTACGTATTTATGTCTAGAGTGCACTCCTGAGTCCTTTTTTACATGGTTGGATTGGAGTGCTGCGTGATCTCTTCTCTCGCCAAATAAATGCAACTTAACAATTGGCGATGAACGAATGCAAAAGTATATTCACCTCCTCCAAAGCAGATTATAATTAGATTTCCTATTGTCCATTGTTGATTCGCTCGATCTTTCCGTCTACTCGCTTCGTTACAGGATTCGTACATTCCATTTAATTCTGCTGAGAAATAAGCAAGGAAAACTTTCAAAATTGATTTAATTATGATACAAATATCGAATGCAATAATTAACAAATGAACAATTCCAAACTGTATTGTAAGCATAACATTTTGCGAAATACTGTACACCTTGGTAGTTTTGCATAATTCTGCAGAAAATTTCCTCCAATTTGTGCGCACAGTTGATGATTTAAAGAGGTTTATGAGGTGGTACGGAGATAACAGAAATCTTGTATATCGTGGCAGAAGGGGAATGCGATTGCGAGGAGATTGGCACAGGTGAGAAAATGGCTAATTACCAATGTTAATTAGCTACTGATAAGGTGTAGAAAGTGCTGCTCGCTCATGATGATTGTTCCATTGATCAATAAAAGTCTTGCGTTCGTTGCAGGGCCAAAAGTTGTGTTATTGGGAAATCAAATAATTAAAATTAAAAAACCAACATCTCCCAATCTCTTCAGCTGAAAAGGTTGTTCTCGTCGTTGCAACTGCATAAATGTTTTTTCTTTGCGGTGGGTGGTGCGTAAAAGTAGTGCAGAAAGTCGTTGGGAGTTGGTATTGGTGTCTCCAATTAGTAATAAATCGATTCAATTCGATTTGTATGTGCATGCTGGCAAAAAATGACTCTGCAACTTTTCGAGGTTTAATGATCAATTTGGCAATAATTAAAATGTCAATTGTATTGAATGTGTAGGCCTGACTCGGAGAACATAAGGCATATAATTATCGATAATAATGGACGGACGGACAGAGTGAGACTTTCGAGGTCTACAATTTCTATTAAAAATAATAACGGTGGTGGTGCCTACCACGTATTTAAATTGCGAATTTATTCTTGGGTCAAAAATAATTAAGCCAGGAACAAACGGTGCATTTTTTCGTAATTTCCATTATTACACGATTGTTCCCAGTTTTGAAACAAATTAAGTAAGCTAATTATTCGCGTTTGGCAGCCAGTTATATATTCGATCAGTAATCAACGCCATTTCGAATTTCGAATGCACACTTGACTCCGTCTTCGTCGAATGTTCATCAGTCCTCTTTTTGGTTGAGTCAGTGAGATGAGTGCGTTTGGTGATTTGCAATTTTCTCATCGTCTTGAAATAATGGAGAGTTCGCATTGAATTGGTTCTCTCAGAAGGGAGAGAGAGAGACAAAAAGTGGATGAAGAGGACTCATCGGGTTGAGAAATTCCTTTGACAGGAATTCAATTCATTCCTATTTTGATTTCTTGAATTGGTCTCATCTAAGGACTCGAATATGCGGTTGACAGCCAGGAACTCACGTTTTTCTTTGTGTCCCAACCCCCATTTCGTCTCCTTCTTCTGGAAGAGAGAGAGAGACGCATCTGCCTCTTTGACCAACTTCTTTCTCCTCCCTTTGTTCAAACCCGTGGTGGTGGTGGTGGTGGTGCTAAATGAGTAAATGTCGCCAAAATGACGCCAACACAACATCCAATTCAGGAACGATTTCTTTAAATCAGAACCAATTTCTTTTCTTGTGAGGAGTTCAATGAATGAAAACAATTCGAATTTGGGCACGATTTTGACAGGGTTTTATAATAGGATGAGAAGAGAGCGAGTACGTACCGAGTAGCGAGACGTAGGAAAAACAGGTTGGATGAAACACAATCTCACTTTAATATGTACTCTTCTTTGGTTGAACAAGGGACCAGAAAACGTGTGGCGTTGACTTGAGAAAGACAGATTGGGTTCATATCGAGAAACATCTCATTACCATGCATGCAGATTCAACATTGAGAAAATCATGGGATCGCAGAGTAAACACAATTATTTATCGAGGCTCGATGCAAAAGGGTTGTGATTTTCATAACGGTCTCGTGTGGATGGATACTCTTGATTAATTCTTCATGATATGATACCATCTCCTCCTCCTCGAGACTTGAGAGTCCCAATCTCTTCGATGGTTCCTCAACCAATGCATTGCGCATCGTGCTATTGAGGCATGAGCTATTGAGAAAATTATGCTCCATATTTGCCAGAAATTCATGGTGATGTATCATCAATGGGTAGTAATCGTGATTGACAGATGCACTTTTCAAGATTTGAGAATGAATTTCCCCCACAAATTAAGCATCGTTAATAGTTATTATCATCAGCAAGACCACCACCACCACCACAACTATGCAAGCTATTAATGTAGCCAGACTTTGGCTGAAGAGTGACAGGGTGCAAGATCGTGTGAAAGTGTGTGGCTATGGCTTTTGAGCACAGAATGTCAAAGTAACAATCAAGAGTTTTAAAACTGCATCCACTTGCCAGACCACAAGAAACAATGGTCTGCAGCACTGCATACGAAGCAGCACCGTTACACAGCATAAAATCCAGAAGAGTCAAAATCATAGTAAGGCCAACGCAGAGACAAATCTGCAAAAAGTGATTGGCGCTGATTATCCATCCTTTGCAAGTACTTTAGCACACAAAATTGGGCTCAGGGACTAGTCAACCCCATCAAACTGTTGTTGCAAATATTTTTTTTTCACTTCTGCACCACAATTTTGCATCTGCACTTTATAATGGTGCTCATTTACTTTGTGGGACAGTACATATGTATCAGCAGCAGAATTTCCTCTTGGGTTGAACTTGTTGCACGGAACTGCATTCATTTACTTTAATTTTTATGCATATTGAGCGCAAAGGACAAAGGAAGGAACAAGTGTCTCGTCAACGGTATTTATTATTTACGTGTTTTGTGTAACGCAGCTCTGTGGGGACAACCCATTTTTTCTCGCTGATAGAAAATACAACTTTTTTTTGCACCATTGGTCGGACTCGCAACACGATTATCAGCATTGTTATTTATCTCCGAAATCCACCCTCGCAATGCAATGTTTAGCATAATGTCTGATATTATTGGCTGGTCATGAAACCCGTAAATTTAGAAAGGTGATAATTTCAAAAACTCGAAAGACAAAGGAATCATAAATTTACCGTTGAGCCAAATAATTCAAAGTAATAATTTGTACTCTATTTTCTCGACTCGCTCACAGGCGGTTATTAGAAGAAGAAGAAGTCTGCATCTGAGCATGCATAAGCTGCGATGAAGAAGATGCTTTTCTTTTGGTTCTTCGCATCCATCAAGTTATTTTTGATCTGCAATGCAAGGCGATGATCTGAATCTTTATAATCCCTCCATTTAATTAAACACTGCCGCTGCTGCATACATGGGAGGAAGGATAGAGGAATTGTGCGAGTGACGACGGCACCCTGAGGTTCAATTGCGTACACTCCACGCTCTGGTAATCTGATCTGATTACGGGAAGAATACGAGAATTAGTGGTAGTGGAACGCTCATGACGGTTCATTTTTCCTCCAACATCGCACACGATACACATGCACCACCCAGACCAGCCTCATTTACACCCAAAGCTTTTGTGCCGTCGTCACATATCATCTTTTTGGTTGGGACATCCAAGGGCGAAACTAATCAAGACGATGCAATGCATACTAAATAACCAACTAGATATTGGTCTAAATCCGTTAAAACAGTTATGATGACGACTCACAATCTCTTCTTTGTGTGGTGGAATACAGGGTACGACTTCACAGCCGACTGAACGGATGTGCCTTTCCACGCCCTTCCTCCGGCTCCCACTCCCACCAGTCCTCCAACGACAACGACTCGGGGGTGGCCCTTCTGCTGGAAAAGGCACATGTAACCAACCCTTTCCAACCCCTGCTTCAAGGGCCCGACTCTCAAGATGCTGGTGGTTCTCGAACCCACGAACCCTCCGACCTCGCCTCCTTCGCCAACCACTCGGCCAACGCCAATGTACAAGAATACCTCAACACGTTGCAGCAGGAGGGCAGTGGTGGCAACGGTCACCTTGGCAGTCGGGGAAACTCCAACCCAGAAATGGTTCCTGGTAAGTACTCATCCTTGGTAGAAATGGTGGGTGAAATTTTGGAAATATGTTACGTATCAGTTGTTCACGACATTCAACAAGGCACCAATTGAATCCTGGGCTCCATTATTGTCATTCATAAATAAATTGCACGTAATGAGCTCTACCCACTTTTCTTGAATTTATGTGTAGAATGTAATTGTGGGTTCAATGTTACATTCCTGCAATTTCGAATATCGAATTTCAATTGTCCAAATTGCTGAATTATCTGATTGGATTCGTGGATGCCTAATTTCGTGGAGTTATTTATCCCACCGCACAGTCCTCGCAAGCGTGGTGCACACTGCAGACATTTTATTACTCGATTCGTCCGTCAAAAGTAAGACATTGGGTCAATTATGAATGAAAAATAGGAAAAGAACCGTGTACAATTTCGTTTTAATGAATTTTTCAAATTTTTTAAACCCATGAATCGATCATATCTCGTTTTCAAAGAAAGACTTGTTTTTTGCCCTTTTTCAACTCACCTTCAACGCATTTATCATTACCCAAAGGGATTCTTCCTCGGCGAATCTTCATCGCAGTTCAACTTGAGCTCGTCAATTTCCGTTGCACACGACTTTGTAATTTTTCCCAACCATGCCCAACCGTACACACAACGAAACAATGTCGGAACTCGGAACTACATACTTTTTGCATGATTGATGTGATTTTTAAAAGTGGTGTGTGTACGAATTTCAGAAGATTTGGCAATCAACGGAGTCGTCTACGATTCGGACTGTTCTCTAACCCTTGCAGCCACCAAAAGCTTGTCCCTCAGCAATTCGCTCAGCAAACAATGTGGCCTCGAGCTGGATCAAGACGACCAAGCGGTAATAATCTTAATAAGCGCATTCCAAATTGCATTTTCATAAATATTAATACACGTCCATTAAAAATGGAGCATGAGGAACAACCTCGCATCGTCATCCTTCTTGTCTGTTGTTCCTCACTGCACACACACCTATACAAACCATTTGTCGTCCTATTATTAGTAGTATTAGCATCCCAATTATCTACAGCACAATAGCAGCATTGAAGCTGGAGATGAAACAGCAGCCATTACTTGAAGAATCTCAACTACACGAGTTTACAATTATCTGTATTTGCTATTTACACAACGATCCTTATAGATAAATGCCTACTTGCTGTCAAAAATTGTTGAAGAAAATGCGTGGAAAAGTAGTGATCCTGGATGACGAAACGTATGTTCCGGTTGACCCTTCAAATCTTCCAGGGCGTCATTTTTTTCATAGCTCGGATCCCTCTGAAGTGGCTTATGAAGAAAAAGTACGAAAAAAAGACAAATTTCCAAAGAAATATTGCATTTGGCAATGCATCTCCAGTCACGGACATGTATCAGACCCGGTAGTTCTCGAAGGGAATATCAATCAAGATATTTATCTGAAAAATTGCGTCAAGGCTGGATTGGAAGCATTTATTAATAGGTTTCACAAAAATGATAAAGTTTTGTTTTGGCCTGACCTCGCCACTTGTCACTATGCAAAGAAAGTGACCGAGTACCTCAGAAAGAAAAATATTGATTTCGTACCAAAAGATATCAACCCACCTAATGTACCCCAACTCCGCCCAATCGAAAAATTCTGGGCACGTTCTAAGTCAGTATACTCCCGGCTTCAAGATGTGCCTGACACCTTTCGAAAATTCAAAGGACGATGGAAGAAAATCACCTCGGAAGTGGCAAAAACTTCGGGAAAAAATTTAATGAAAAATCTTCGCAAGAAAATCGAACTAGTCGCCAACGGGGGTGTGGCGGCCTTAGCTATTAATTAAATTATGTAGGTACGTATTTGGTATTATACATATGCAAAAAGTTTAAAATTCCGATAACTCATTGTGATTTTATGACCACATTTTCAGACCATTCCCATTCATTCCCGGACGTTCTTTAATTGGGTGCCATTGTTTACTCTGGGCCTAATCCTGCATATAAGTCAAGAAGGAACAAGTTGCGATGATGATGGTCATGACTAGCCAATTTTGTAGCCTCCGTTTCGCTGTGAACTTCAAGTGTCAAAATGTAATCTCTTTAAAGGATAAAAGTTTTGAATAACTGCGCAGCGAAAACTTTCTACGTTTGATAAGATTAGAGCCAAGTCGAGCAGCTTCCGTTATGAATATTGGTCCAATTCGGAAATAACCTGCAACAACAACAAGAGTACAACGTTTTACTGATAATTTGATCTGATTTCACCAACACGCTCTCAGCATGAAGGTACATTTAAATAGTAAAGAGCAGCAATGCACAAGTGAGTGCAGAGAGATTTTTGGGTTTGGTCGAACTCAAAGTATTTGTAAGAACAAGGTGCACGAAGCATCAACAAGCCAATACCAAGCACCTTCTTGACATTCATTACCTTAATCAGGAAATTATTGTTGCGAAGAATTGAAATTCACACCTTAATCTCAATGTTTTATACGAAAAGTATGCCTAATCTGCAACTCCTGAGGCCGTTTTCCTACCTTTTATCTCGTAAAGTGGACTTATTGTAGATAGTTTCATTTGTAAGAAAATTAGAAATTCTTTCACAAATCTTTTGCAGGATGATGAATATGCCGTTTCTTTTTCAACGTGCATTTATTGCAGGCCACGTGTGTGTCGAAATAATTCATCCTCGGGACAAATTGAGCTGATTGAGGTGACGTTCATATGTAGCCGTCCGTCCGTCGGTATTTCAACAGCAACCACAAAAGGCTTCGTCGGCGGAGAATGGGTAACAAAGCGTATCACGTAATTAAGGAAGTATTTCTGCAGTCAGATGGTGATCCTACATCATCGATCCGTCAAGAAATCGCGATTATTCTCTTGGAGTGATTTTTTATTCCCTTGATTGACTGACGGACAGACTGATGGGATTCGTACAAATACCGTTTGGGAGTGCAAATTAGAAATCGCAACCTGAATCTGTGTCACTCATTCTCACCATGCATGCACCCTCCAAATGGAGAGTGCATGGATTGAAGAGGGGATTGGAGAGGTGGGGTCGGACTTCCTCTGAGAATTATCTAATTGGGATTGATGATGGGTAGGAGACGGCTTGTGTGTGATCTGGTTTAGTTTACTGGTTTATCCTGGCAAAATCTGTATCGTGTTCTCATGTCATGACTCAGGAGGAAGTTATACATAGATGGGCCGATTTGCCTTGTATTTATTCGCAGGTCTCCACGCAGAAGGCAGGATGGCTTTCTCAATGAGACAATTAAGAATTGGATTAAGATGATTATCAAATGTTTGGGAGAAGAGTACGCATGTTCCCAATTAAACGTGGATGGCTAAATGAGATAAATGAAAGTAAAAGTTCAAGTGGGAATTGCAGCCGGCTGGCCGATGAGATAATGCGAGGGATGACATGCAGATCGTTGATGTCATCTTGAGCGAGCGGAATGACATCTCTATTTCTCTATTTCTACCTCATGTATAGCATTACAGAGAATGACCATAAACTCCACGTACCGCTCCACATAATGACGATGACTATAAAAACTTGAAGAAATTGGTCCATTGTTAGCCGGACCATTTGTATCATGTCACTTTGTAACTGAGCTTTCTTTCACTCCACGTCAATTTGAGGGAAAAGGATGCAATCAGACGTTGAAACGAGCATGCTTTATTTAATGGGACATGGCTCAAAAATCTCAGATTATCTCCGATGGTATTCATACTCGTAGAAATTGCTAGTAAAAAAATCGATTAATTACTACCCTTCCAACACGATGGGAGGCAAATTGATATTTAATTACGAGTCTTGCTACCTACTTATCTCCGCAAAGTATTAATGACTCGAATTTTTGAACCGTTGCTGAATGCAGAGAGTTTATCTGTGTGCCTTTCTTCTGATCCGTGTCGATGGATTATGGCAGAGAAGGACACCGTCATCATAAAACGAGGATCCTCCCCAATTGTGAAACATCTGTCTAAATTTGTACACCAAATTATAATCCACTGCTGTCAGGTTATTCAATTTAACGTCGTCGCTACTGCTAGTTTGAGCGTGGTTGCGTAACGGCGTGGCCAAGATTATACAAGAAAATTATCGGTTGTTTGTGGTCCCTTGCTGTCATTAAGGATTTTATTTACAAGTTGTTATTCGTACAGATTTGTAATTACTTTTCTTGAAGGATGACATTCTTAAGAATTGGGGGCCGGCGTCACGTCATTCCTGCAAAAATCCAATTTAACAAGTCCTTAAAAGTAATAACCAAGATAACCTTATGCCCTCCAAACAAAACACGTGTGATTCATGTACTAAATACTACAAATCTGTAAGGCATAAAAAATACGGTTGAAGGTCACGAGTTGGTTGGTGAGATTTGACAAAATTGTACAAAATGGTGGGAGTAGTCCATTACAGAGCTGGGTAATCGTGGGGGGGATGATGTTCAAGGCTTAAAGTTTCATCAGTCTCATCTTCAATTCGAAACTCGGTGCAGTCCGTGTGTGACTTGGCTGAATGGGTTTTTTGACTCGAAAGAAGTGAACAATGTGTTGAAAACAACAATGCTTGATCCACTTGGTTGCTGGCTACGTGGAGGAGATGCATTATTGTTATTGTTGATGCTCGAGTTCTTTAACATCTGCCAAAGAGGAGTAAAAAATTAATGCTTCTTCACTTTCAATAATGTGTCAATTTAGATGTGTGTGTACGTACAAACAAGTATCGTGGTAATTATGAGGCATTGGACCGTTCAATTCTCACCTCGATCACACGAAAAGTGTTTATGCGTTCCTTGAGAAGGTATTTTTATCGACAATGCTCAATATTACAATCGCCTGCATTCTATTATTTATTGTGAGGACAGGTCTTCCAGTTTTTGAGACAATTGAACAAGAATCGTCCCATTTATGTCAGAGAGCCCTTATTCTCTCACTGGTTGTGGTAATGGTGTGTGGTTGGTTGTGGTCTCATTATGTGTGAAGTGGTACATTTTTACTTTAGAAAAGCACAATCGTTTGAGAATGTTTCTCAGACTGCTCTTGTATTTCAATTCTCAAGAAATTATTGGCTCCTCAACAGCAAAAACGCCTCTGCTCGTTTCATTAATCAAAAGGATGATGATGAGGGATTACAGAACATATTCCGGCATCTGTGCCATCCGTCAAAGTCGCTCGACATTAGGGAAGACCTGAGCCATCTTCCAACTACTTTGTATTCTAAGATTTGGGCTTGTGTGCTCTCCAAGTGACAGGAACATTTGTGAACTGAGGAAGCCTGTTAATTATGAAAAATTTGTTACATAAATTAGCTTAAATTTTGAACCCATTTCGAATTCAATGTACTGATATGTGTCGTATATTTAAAGATTTTAATTATCGGTATGAATATTACTGGTTTTATTAGGAGGGCTGAAGATTATGGAATTGGTGATATGACTGGGAGAGTTATATGGATCGAATAATTTGTCTACTTGCTCCAAATATCGTGTTTAATATTAACTACTATTTGCATAATTAATGCATAATAATTGTTTTTAGTCTATGGTATAGTGGTAAATGTATCACCAATTGTTGTTTTACATGTGTATGTACATACGTGTGCAACGAATGCCTTGAATTGGGGAAATCACCGTCATAAAGACATAAATCAAATCAAATCAAATCCGTCCATCAAATTGGCAGTGAAAAATGATGAACGTGCGTGGTTAGGTTATCAAATTGAATGAATCCTTCAAAGAGCCTCTTCCTCGTTTTAAAATTGGGTCCAGGATGTCAAAAAGTCTTACTTTTCTGGAAAAATTCTGTCTAAGAATGAATTATGTTACGCACTAGAGTATTTAAATACACGTCGTAGCAATTACATTTATTAATTATGTACTTATTATCTGATTCTAATTCTAAAATAATTCTGGTATCATAAAAATAGTGATTACATTGTAAAACGGGTTTTTGATGTATTTGCTGAATATACGTTCAGAATCTGAACTTCAGATTGAGCCATTTTTTGTTAGATTTCTTATAGGCGAGAGGTGGATCCGTAGGGCAAACAGTATAATTGCAAAATTATCGCATCGGGAAGCAACGAGATGTAACAGTTGATTGAAGTTATTGTCAAAATGTTTTTTTCGCCCGGATTACAATACAAGCACAATGCAACGACCATGGCATTCTCGCTAACTCTTATGCAACTTATTGTTAGTTACATTTGCAGTATATGCGCCGCAGGTGTTCCAGATAATCCGTGTCTTAACAATTTAACGGGATCATAATTTTAACTTGAGGCATCCGCACGAAAAAAAACAGATTAGGTTGGCATTTTCTGATCCAGTGCACCACTAACAAACAGCGTAAATTAAGCTTTAAGTTTGTGCTCATCTCTTCACAAAAGCAGATCCATTAACACCTTGTTCTCCACGAGAAGAAGAGAACGCTGATGAAGAACCGTCTTCCTCCAACTAATTTAATGTCTTGAACAAACTTTTTAAATCCTTCACAGCAATATCAAAGTTAAAATTGCGGTATAAATCCGACAAAAAAGGTACACGGCCTGTCTCACGACCAACGACGCACCCGATTCTAAACCAAGAGTACTCAAAAGCCCATACTCGAGTTAACTTTATGCAAACTTCCTGTTACTTACATATTCGGGTCTGCGTAGATATTGTGTATCAATAGGATTTGCTTGCTTGCTGCAACACCCGTCATTACAAATTAGGAAACTATTTTGCCATAAATAATGATTTTGCAGTGGAGTTATGATAAGATATGATAATATTGTTGTGAATACGTATTCCTTACGACACTGTGGGTCACATACTTGTTGTGTATTTGCATCTTGCATCACTTGAAATCAGTCCTTAACTTTTTTATTGCCCAAAAGCGCAAAACGGTATTGAGCGTGCTAATTTTTGTCTGCATAAAGTTGGATTACATTGCAATTTAATTTTTTATAAGACATACTTAACAAAGCATATGTCATAATTCAGCTGCACAAGTTGCAACAAGAAAATACTTAACTTTGGCAGCCAATTGCACAACTTCACGCTGTGTGGTTATCTGATTATGATTAGACACACAGGTAGCAGCGAGGCAAGTCTGTCTTCTCGTGTGCCTGCAACTTACTCCTGATGAATCCCAAGAACAAATTTGCACCTTTTTTGTATGGTTTGATTTTAGCTCAACAAACGCTAAGCCCATCGAAGGCTCGTTATGTGTGGCTTTAGTACAGAATTCCTCCTCTCAAAGGATTTGCTAATATTTGTCATGAATGAAATTGAAAGCTCAAAATTATGATTTGTTATTTTTTTGTTAAGTGAGACTCTTTGCATTCATCCAACTCTCAGGAATTCAATAAGCAGTGGTTGGTCCCATCCCTCGTTATTTCACGTGAAATATGTGCATTGAAGTAGAAGCTGGTACATGCGTTGGAGAGATTTTTTCCTGAATGGTCAACAGCTCACAAGAGTGTGTACATACACATGCACGTATTTATAATGGTGAGAAAAGGAGGCTCTGCAAATGTTGATTTTTTGTGGCATTTCGATTTTCATGTCAATTGCTAGTCATCAATTTGTGGTTTGCATTATGTGGATTTGGTTGATTGTGATTTGTTGGTTTTTGCCACTTTTTCAACTTATCCTTAGTTAAGTATGTATGTGATTTTGCATGGGCAGCTTTAGAATCGACGGGAATAATGACTTTCACTTGTTCACAAAACGTCCTACAATTTTAATTATCAACGTATTATTTTACTCTTAATTGTGATTCCAATTATTAAATCATGCTCATATCATCATCATTCTACATATGTGTGTGCGTCACGTAGTATGATTTATTGAATTGGTAGTGTGTCTAGTTGGGAAAAGGAAATTGCATAAAAAACTAAAAACGTAAACATATACGCTGCTCACAATCTTGCCTCCATTGTTTTGATTTATGAAAATATACAATAAAATGATTAATTATTTTCACAGTTTAATTAACAAGATAAGTGAAGCGAGTGGTTGTTTTTGATGTTCACACAGGTGCCGGAGGGAGAAAAAGGGAGCTCGCTTTGCAAGGGACGCGGAGGAGGAAGCCTTGCTGGTGGCATTTCCGAGCCAGGTGAGAATAGGGATATTGTACGATTAATTAAATGCCCATTAGCGCCGCCCTAACTGCGACCACCAATCAATTTTACCTCGTTTAGCATACTAGCAAATGGTTCTGATTAGCGGAACAATCAACAAAAAGACGACAAGTACATTTTTTATTGGTCATAAAAACAACTTTGAGAGAATGGCAGGAAAGCGATAATGATACAAAGGATTAGCAACATGCATATTTATCCTTTGAAGGTACATGCGTTTATTTAGATCAATTGGGGAAGAGCTTTTGCACATTTTTCTCAAAACTTTCATACTTCATTATAATCCGATTACCGGAATGCATAAATTATACGAGACATATGCGACGTGTTGAATTTATGACAAGTTTTTTGAAATCACAAGTACATTGCTTATTGAGATTATTGCAGAGATTTCGTGAATAACTCTGTTCGTTGGAGATCAACGCATCAGCTGCATAAATATGCATTGTTTCGCATGGATTTTTTGCCAAGAAGTGTGAGAAGGACGACAAAAAGATGTATCACTATCAAACTCTCGTTTTCATTTCAGTCTCAGTTTTCTTGTGAATATTTCATTTCGAGGAAGAAAAAGTAGGAATAAGAATCAAGACTCAGGCTACAATGGGACTGACCAACACGTTCAGAATAATAATGGCAGGATAATAAATACTGTGCAACACTCTCTCACTCACACTGATCTTCAACAATGCAACACTGCTTGTACAATAATAATTTAAGAATGCACAATACCGGCGCAGATTCGTTCTGCTCTACATGTTGGACAGATTCAGAGGAGGTTTCGCACGCTCCTTAAGTCCCATAATGAAGCAAAATTGTAAAAGTGCATCGTGATTTTGAATTCTTTTATTCTTTTATGCATTTCGCTGCACCATTTCTCATTTTGGTAATAAGGACCCCAAAAAATGGCAAAATGAATGCATGGACGGTTAAATGAGAGTGATACCAAATATTTTACAGACGGAGGGCAGACCTTCAAGGAGGGACAGAGATTGAAAGTGGCCAAAGAGTTGCTGGAAACGGAGAGAAAGTATTGTCACACGCTCCGAACGATTCAGGAGACGTTTGCCCAACCCCTAAAAAATTCCGGCGTTCTTTCCCTCAAGGACATCAAGTGAGATTTTTTTGACGTATCCCGACAATTTTTAAACCCTGAGGTTTGTGTGATACCTGAATTTTAATGAACTCTTGTAGCACGCTGTTCCCCGAAGAAGTATTTTGCCTGCATGAGAAGCATTGTCAGCTTCTCTCACAATTGGAGGAGCGAATCGCGTCCTGGAAAAGCCAACCCAGAATTGGGGACATTCTGGAACGGTAAATAAATGAGAATAAAATACTAATTCTATTTGGTCCACTTTTTGAACCAACAAAGAGCAATTATTTCTATTCAACGTGCGCACCTTGCTGTTTCCTGTGTTTGATTATTAATCATTATACATTGCCAACAATAATTGCCGGGTTTTGAGCCCGTGCAGGCAGGTTAATCCTGTATTGTTGGATGGACATTATTCAATTATTATCAAGAACAGGGAGTAGGTGCGCGAAAAGAAAATAGTAACCAATTTCCCGTTACTATTTTTTGTGCATGCTAAGAATATGTGTATGTATACAACTGACTGCCTTGATTGTTTTGTGCCTGTCTCATTAAAAATGTGGATTTTTTAGATTCACCAATGGGAAAGGTTCCAACGTCCTCCGGCTGTACACCAATTACGTCAACGACTTTCCCGAAGTTTTAAAAACGTTTCACAAGCTGTGTCGCAGCTCGAGAGAATTTACACACTTTCTAAAATCCTCCTTGGAGCACCCGACTTGTGGTGGGTTGGACCTGGGAGCATTTCTCCTCAGTCCCGTACAAAGGATGCCTCGGTCAGTCCAAAAAACCTGTGCATGATATTCATTACGGTTTGATTGACAAATGATCTGATCCCCAACGATCGCAGGTACATTTTGCTCCTGAAGCAAATCATCAAGTACACGGAACCCACTCACCCCGACTTCCACGACATCACCACGTGTCTCGACCGGCTGCGAGACTATTTAAAAAGATTGAACGACTCGATGGAGCATTCCTTCCAACTAGTCACTGCCCAAATCACACCGCAACCCGGCGACCACCACAATGACCACAATGAGGCTGAGAAGGACAAGAAAATTGGCTTTACCAATGCCCTCGGCCTCGGATTCGGGTTTGGTTCCAGATCTGGGAAGACTAATAATGCTCGATCCAGCGTGTGCAGTAGTCAAAGTAGTCACAGCACAACGGGTGACGTGGACGACGAAAGCAATAATCGCGGTCACAAGGTGCGGTACCGAAGGTCGACGTCCGTTCCGAGAAGCCAACACCACCACCACAACCACCACGCGTCCTATGACCACTCGCCCACGCCGTCCAAGGAAGTCCTCAGCGGGGGCGGGGAGAAGGGGAGCAGTAACAAGTTGAAGAGCAGGTCGAAAAGTGACTGGACGGTGTGCAAGGCGTGCAACTGCAACAACCAGGTCCAGCCCCATGAAGAGAACAAGTCCACCTGTCTGGATAGAGCTCTGAGTGACTCTGACATCAACTCGGACACGGAAGAGTCGCCCTTCCTTCGTTCCCCAAGCCAAGAGGACAAAAATGGAAGAAAGTTCTCCACGTCCAAAAGTCTACACGACTTCCCAAACCAACATCCCGACTGGTTTTTGAGCCAGCCCAGCTTGTGCGATGGCCAGGATGACGAGGCCGACGTAGAATTTCCAAACAACAAGTCTTCCGTAGGAAGTAGTCATACAGTTGTTCGCAACAACGTGATGATCCGACCCTTGTCATCCGCACAAGGGGGGAGTCGCTACGTGGCTCGAATTCAACGTGGTTCATCCGAGTCTGAAATGAATTTGCACATGATTGGTGGGACGACCACGCCACCAAGTTTGGAACAGCACAAGAAGAAAACGTCACTGAGGACGTCCCTCAAAAATATTTTTTCCTTAAAGAAAAGGTACAAAAACCTGTCTGAGTCGACTGTTCGAAACGACTACCGGGTCCTCTACTCGGACAAAGTCGCCAAGTCCAGTGTCACGCACACCCAGCTGAGCACGAAAACCACGCTGACCAGGGCCATCAGCATCTCCCCGCTTATCCAGTATTACCACCGTATGCCTAGCTATTTAGAATTGGTCATGTTCAGCGTTCGCGAAACGACGGTGTGACCCGCCCATCACTTGAACGACCACACCACACCACCCCCACCTCCCAACTCACGCACGCAAACACCACCCAATTCAATGAATAACATGCACCGTATTTACATAATTATTTAGACGTTGTTTTTAGTCGTAACCTACCTAGATGGAAAAGGTGCACGCTTTATCACTATGCTGCAGGTATCCACCACCCAACATTCCAATCTATTCATTTATTTACATTTTTATTTATGCTTCGGCAGTACTTTCCTCTTTTAGTGCAAAAGTATCAGATCATAAATAAAAATCTCATGGTTGGCCACTTTTCAGAACAACTCGTACCCTGCAAATTAGTGGACCAATCCTGCCTTCTCGACCCGCATTCCCACCTCCCGTGGCCACGCTGAGGTACAACAACGGGCGAGAATGTTACCAGAGCCTGCCCCCAGAACCCACTCATCTTGCCCCCCATTTGGGAGGAGTGGGGGTTCCAGGAGGAGGAAGGTCCTCCCGAGCCTCACGACTTTCGGAGAGTCCTTCCAACCAACTCGCGCCCGGACCCGCGTCTCTGCCACCACCTCAGCCACTGCCCCCACATCAACAACAACATCAACAACACGTCGCCCGATATGCGCGCAATCCTGGAAACAAGTTTGGAAATCCTAAACTTCCAAAAACCCCCTTCATGGCAAAGTACCACCAATCGCAGGAACGGCGCAACAACAATAACAGTCCATACACGGATGTTTAATTTTACGAAAATTAAGAAATTATATTGAATGCTTGATATCGAAATAAAGATACTTTTTGTATGAACACTTTCCATATTTTCATGAAAAATCAAACAAAAATGATGCATTGTTTCATACTGGTGATTGGTGGAGGGGTACTGTGAGATTTATGTGGGAATGCTAAACTCTCCTCCACTCAACACGGTTATCATTTCACACGTGCTTTTCATCATCTTCATCAATTAATTCACACACAACAGTTTTAAATAGTTAAAATAGCTACTTTTAAATAGTACTTAACATGGAATGCAATGGCGTCAACATGGCGCCGGAAATTATGAAGCGAGAAGATTCCAGTGATACCAACTTCAACGTATACGTCGGATCTGAAACAGGATTTCTCAAAGGTAATTAAAGCTAGTACCAGACGCGACATTGCAAGTCAATTTAGTTTAGTGTTATAACAGACTTATTTATCCACTGCTTGTAGGGATTTGTTTCGGGTTGGAAACGCCCATGATGAAAGAACTCTCAGATTATGATAAATCCAAAAAACCCGTTCCCATCAAGACCTTGTCCTGGACAGATCCCAACAACCGGAAAGACCTCCTTGTCGGCCTAATTGATCGCACCGTCAAAGTTTACAATACAAAGTTGAGAGCATTCACACAAGAGAAGAGGGTGCAACTCAGCGATGAGGGTGAAAGCCAGTTGGTCTCGTTATCTCAACTAGACGAGTACGCAAATTAACTTATTTCACTTTAGTGTCGAATTTAATTTAATATATTTTATTCATGCTTGATATTTCTTGATTGTTGCAGTAAATATTTGGTGGGGCTTGAAAATGGGAAAATATCTTACTGGAATCCTGCAGACAGCAAATCTACGATTGAATTGAAAGCTGGAAATCATTTATCATGTGTTAAATCATGTCCTCAAGACTCCTCACTCTTTGTAACGGGTGGCAAAGAAAATGACGTAAAAATATGGAAACTGGACTCGGGAACGACCGAACCTATTTGGAAAGCAAGAAATGTGCCTCACGTTTTGGAGCTTCGTGTTCCAGTTTGGGTGCAGGACGCAGCATTCCTCCCACAAACGACAGACCTTGTCGCCATCGCTTCCCGCTACGGACAACTGAGATTGTACGACACCAAAATGGACAATAGAAATCGACCCGTGATTAACATGGAGTTTTCTGACCATCCCGCTATGTGTATTTCTCCTACCAGAAATGATCGTCAAGTTATTGTGGGGTCGGCACAAGGAAAAGTTGGTCTAGTAGACATTCGGAATTATGGAAAGGAAAAAGTTGTGCATTTGTTTCACGGTTTCAACGGCAGTGTTCGCAGTATTGTGGCGGATGAGAACACCCCATATTTTGTATCTTGTGGACTGGACCGCTTCTTATATTTACATAATTTGAATAATAGGAGTCCCGTTAAAAAGGTGAGCCTACCGTTGAGGATTAGGATTGTATGTTGCAAAATTGCAATATACAATGGTTTTTGGTTGACACTTTTAATAATCCATTTGCTTTTCTCTGCTCGGATTTTCAGCTCTTCTTGAAGTCCAGGTTGACCGGTGTACAAATTACGAAGGATTTTTTGGCACAATTAGTTAACAACAGCGACGACCTGCAGTCAAGCTGGCACAACATTGATATGAGCGTCCTCCCTGGAGCCCCAGTACCTACGAATGCTGAACGTGAACTCATCGGTGGCCCGTCTCCCAAAAAATTTCGAAAAAGTAAAGTTACGTCATAAGCCTTTTTGATAGTTGACTTTAATACTAGAGACCCGTTCAATCCGTACGTTTTCTATAACTAATATAAATAGCAGTGAGACTTGTGATAGTGTAAAATTTATCAGATTTTGTAGATTTTATTGAGACATTAAAAAATGCAATAATTTATACGATACTATTTTTATTTTTCGATTTTGTTGCTTCTTTTTATTTAAAGTTTGAGCACATGTCAGTCACCGACCGTACCAATTTACATAATATATAACCATGAGTCACTTATATAATAACTCGCACTAGAGTTCCACCAGTATAAAAAAACGTTTAAAAACAACATAAAGAATTAAAGCTACCAAACTTATAAACACATCCACTTGCATACACCGGGTAGGTTGGTTGTCATTTTTGCATAAGATGACTTAAGTTGTTGACTGAGTAGGAATTTGTGAGTCGAGGACGGAATAATAATATTCTAAAAATACTGCGGATCCATAATTTAAAAGGAATGATAACAAATCAAACGACGCAGCCAGGTCTGGTTCCATAAATGAGTTTCAGTTCTGGTAAAATGGTCCTCGCGATGAGGGAATTTTGTTTGGCGACTACGGGATTTTTCTTGGGAATGACCTTGGTCCTTTTGATCCCTGTGTATTTTTACAAAACGAATGGTCAGTTTCAGAATAATTATGCATATTTGTGTGTACCACCATTCGCTTACCTGGACGGTGAACGAGAAACGCGTTGTCCAGGATGTGGAACTCATAATCCAGCACACACAGCACGTAACCCTACACACACAGCACGTGAATAATTAACACATCTCGAAAACCACCATCTCATTATCTATGTCGTCCTCTCGAGTGAATCAGTACCAACCTGCGTCATTTTATCACTTCGACCCTCCCAGCTCAGCCGCTCATCGTAGAGTGGGTCGAATTTTGTGCCGATGTAGATGGGTTCCCAGTGATGGTACGGCTTGTGACGCTTGCCCACGTGGAAGACACGCAGCCCTGGCGTCACTGGAGCGGTCATCCACTCTTTCGCCCTCGGAATCCGATGACAGTCGGAACAGACGTACTTGTGGAAAGGGATTGCGGACTTGTTTCCCAGCATGTGCAGCAGTTCGCGCTTATCTCTCGGCTGGACAGACACGTTGGCTTCCACTTCGAAAATACTCAGAACAAACACCTGTCGTGGGAATAATTAATTAGCGGATCGATTTGAGTCTAGCATGTATTTAGATTACTTTTAGTGTACTTATGTATGTATATTTCTATGTCTCAGCACCTTTGGATTTGGTCTCTGTAAATTGGAGTCATTTAGACGAATCATCTCGAGGAAATCTGGGATTAGGTTAGGGTTGGGATACAACTCGATGTCTGAAGGCAGGATGTAGTGTGTTGTGGACATATCACGGGCCACGTTTCGGGCTACATTTACTGGATATGGCAACTTCTTGGCTTTTTTGTAGGTCACAATGTTATCACCAAACGTAGGGGAAGGTGCACTGTGTGAAAAATATGCCCATTAATAGAAATATTTATGCATGCGTATATTTGCTAATCGTGAGTATGTAATCGCAACCTGCAATTCAAAGTGGAAGCTAAGGTAAACGGATCCTGTGGGATTTTAGACTTTGGCACGTGACGAGTATCAAAAAAGATGTGGAAGGTGACAAAATCTTTGACAAGCGGGGAGACACACTCCCTCAGGTACAATATTCGCGTCAAGGTTTCCCCAAAATCTGTTCCTGGAGAGTAGACGCTTAGACTGACGGGGCCCTGCCACCTCTCCAGCAAGGGGACCAGATTATCCAGAAACGTGAAGTCTGCATGAGTGGAGTAAGTGATTGACTGGTCGCAGTGAAAGGTCCTCTCACCACGCACGTAGTTGTAGAGCACCCAGTAGGCGCCCCTCTGAGCGTAATGGGGTCGTGGGGTGAGATCGTCGCAGGGGAAGAGTCGCCCACCCTCCAGGAGCGCCTTCGACTCGTTCACCATTTCCACCGAGGGGACGAGGATGTCCTTCTCTTGCCCCGGGGGACTCACCTTCATTGCATCATTTGCATATTAATTTATATGGAGTGAACTCGTGTTGATTATTGTCGTACCAAGTCAGCCGCAATCCCCTCGCCCAGGGCGCTGTCGTCCCCGTCCCACACGACGCCACCATCACTGCTTCGCACTTCGGGTTTGTTGTTGACCCCATTTCCACCCCCACTGCCACCGTCTTCAGGGGAATTGCCCACAGAAACAGAGTTGCTGCCTTGTTCCTGGAGCAGAGGTTGGAGTTGTGAAGGGTCGCTCAGGAGGAGGTCCGTGTTCTTCCCAGGGGGACCACTCTTGGCGTGGAGAGCAGCACTGTCAGGGGTGAAGGGGACCAAAACGGGGACATTGTTCTCCGAGGGGGAGGACGTGGAGGAGGAGTAAAGGGCGAGATAGATCACGAGCAACAGGTTGCTCGTCACACTCGCCCGAAATAACCAGGCTCGGCTCATGGCCATGATAGCTCCGCCGCTGTCGTCGCAACTCAAACGCGATCTGTTCAGAAAGAGGGACGATTTTTAGACTTGATTTAAAAATAGCCAACCCATAAATATTTTTGTTTCATCTCTCGTAAAAGAAGCCCTAATGAACCACCTTGAATCATGGAACTTTTTCTCTTAGGCTGAGCTATGCATTTATTAGTCAGCATGAATATCAGGATAAGGAATACAAAAAAAATCTCTGTCAGTATTGTTTAGTCTATTTGAACAGCAGAGTTTTATGGCAATTTACTGGTCATGAGAATTTTGAATACATATCTATATTTATGCATGCATGAGTTAAATTAGAAAGTATCTTCTTAATATCTCCCTCCAACAATTCTCTCAGTCCGACTGATCTTGAACAATGTTCTGCTCATTCTGAGCTCATAATTTTTTGGGTAACTTACAGCAATCAAGCATCCAAGCTGTCTGGAATTAATTGTGTCGCTGCACTAATTAATTTGCACTTCCGCATGCAACACATTTGGTATCCTGCATCCTCCAGTCTGAGAAGGTCACCACCGCACCCACTCACTGCTTCCCACGAGTCTAAAAGTACTGTTTACGTTACAAGAATAGAGCCCTCTTCTTGACTAAAGCACAAGAACGCATTGTCCACTTTCCCCAACCCCCAAGAAGGTCCCTAACCTCAACCAAGTCACCAATTATGACCTCCCAGTTGCTCCCTTTCTTCCAAATCGATTAGAGTTTGGACCGTATTTAGGAGGAGATATAAATCCAGGTTTGAGAAGGGCTTTGGTCGTCTACTCTGCTGCTGCTCCTGGGGTCAGGGAGGAGGAGGGGATGAGTTGGAGGAGCCTCTTATTAGTCGTGGTACTGGCAACACTAAAAGCACAACAACTGGTTGTGGTGATGGTCATATTCACAAAGTCTCGCATTGCTATGCCACTGTAAATAGTGGTGAGGTGAGATTCCTCACAGTTACCTCATCGTCATCGTCGTATCCTTTCTTCCTTCATCTTAAGACTTACATTCTCAGAGTTATGTGTGTAAAAAGATGGGATGATGAAGTAGAAGGGGTGATCCCCATGTACATAAAAAAACACCTCGATTTTGCCCATTCACGACACACGTTGTTCGCCGCTTTTCTTTGAAGCTATCTCAGACTTGGCCACAATAAGGTGTTGCGTGATGACTGCGTCGTCCATGCTTTTTCACCTGTGATGCAACCCTTCGTCCAAGCATTGCATTGTGTCGTGGCGAGTAAAAGAGCTGCTAATTGGGGTGGGTGGCTATGTCTCCTGTGGATCTTGCCGCACTAACGTAAAACGTAATCCCACTTCGTGCTTAACACGACGTCATCGTCAATGATCACATTTGCAAATAGAATAGTCCTTGAGAGACGTGCTGCACACTTGGCTCAATAATTTCTGCGAATGATGACCAATCTCAAATTCCTCACCATATTTTTTCTCTACTTCTTGCTGCAAGGAATAAAATATTGGTTAATTAGTACATCGCTGCAATACTGTCGTTCGTGACTGCAAACGAAGATTTGTTTATATTTACTTCCAATCTGGTGATAAAGAACACTTTTTTTTGATGCAGTTGCTAATTCCTGAAATAAGCAATTTGTGTGTTCAGCAGAAAAAAGAGTTTAGAGATAAAATTCAGCTACAACATGTTTGTAAATCCTCCACACTAAATACTAAAGCTTTGCTTCTGCATTAAAGTAAAAAAAGACAATGTCTGCTTATTCTCATGCAAATGAGTCAACAACACATGCACAACGGAAGAATGCTAAATGGTCTCACGTTCCCGACTAACAATAATATTTTGTATCAGTTCTAACCAGTATAATAAACCTGATCAAAATTATTCATTTTCATGGACCACGTACGAAGTGAGTGGAATTAAACGTGAGCAAGTGAGGAGTTCCATGCACAAAGAGATCGGATTTCCGTCCTCAACATCACCATTGATTATAACAGGGATTTCATAAACTATGCATACTTGTATTTACTCACTTTAGCTGTGATTAAAAACACACAAATTTCAAGTAGTGCTAGAATCGACTTTGACTTGTGAAAGCACGCTTTTGCATGGCTTTTGGATTTTGAGTGGCCCTTTTGTTAGAATTTATTTTTACCTATTCGCAAAATATACATAATGTAATTTACATTATGTAAATCGTGATGATGATGACGCGGAAAAATTAATGCAGAAACTGGGAAATCTAGGTGCTACATGTGGTGTGTTTTCAGGTATTATGATTGAGTATTAGAATTTTTTTTAATGAAATTCCAGAAATTCCTAGAAATTTCAGGAAATGGAGTCAACACCTGGTTCTGACACTCAATGTGTTAGTCGTGCTGTATGTAAACTGATGTGTACTTCAAATGCCGTCGTCAAAAAGTGGTGACCACAAGCGCAATGTTTGATCGATATCTAACTTTGTGGTTCCGGCTACACGATTGTTGTTGTGCACAACGGTCGATGTAAGTATGCATCACTTTTGGTCAGCAAATAAACGTGTCTTTGTCATGCTGAGTCTTGTGCGTGCGCTTTTGATGGCATTGTTTTTTTGGGCAGGATAATTACAGATACCATTGGAACACTATTCAATCGTAAGTAAACATATTCAGTGTAATTTGGAAACAAAGAACGAGTATCAGAATAAATCAACCAAACTACCCAACGCTAAAATATTGGGGAATTTCTCAGTCTTGTTCATTCATAGAGAAATAAGTACGTACTCTAGATCCTAAATGCTTGGATACTGCTCGTGTCCTTTCAACATGTGCCGGGCGATGGGTGCCAATTTAACCGTCCAACGAAAATATAGCTTTATCCAACCAAAATTGATAATTTCGCCAATTATGAAAAGGGCAACGAATTGATTTATTTTGCAACAACTTTCATTAAAATACACAACAAAATAATTAAATTTCCAAATAAGAAATAAACGAAATCCTTGTCTTAAGTACTTCAAATTTTACGATAAATAAGAAGGTATAAATATTTAGTCAACAATCAAAGCATTTCCAACTAACTTTTTTCGACCGCTGTTAGCTTAGCTTCCAATGATATCAGTTTTAAGATTGTCCGGTACAACAATTATCTTTCTAATTATTCAAATTCCAGCAATATGCTTGCATATATACACTTTTTTTAGCCCCAACCAGGGCTTATGTAATTGTCATGTCCGTCCGTCTGTCCGTCTGTCTTTCGATAACTCTCGAACGAGTTGACCGATTTGGACCAAATTTGGTACAGACATGTATCTGGGCAATGCAACGACCGAGTTCGAAGATGGGTTCGATCAGAAAAGTTTTGGACCGGTGGGGGTCATATAAGTGGGTGGGGTATTATGCACCAAAATTTCAAAATTGTGATAGAAAGCTGAAATTTGGCATGGAGCGTGCTAATAGCTCCTAAGGAAAGAATATGAAGTGAAATTGGAAAATTTTTTAACCGGAGGAACCCGAGGGGGTGACCCATACCGATTTTTCAAAATCATCCAATCGAGCTGAAATTTGGCATTGAGCGTGCTAATGACTCCTAATGGAAGAATATGAAGTGAAATTGGTAAAAATTTTGTATAGAGGGACCTAAGGGGTGACCCATACCGAATTTTAGAAATAGTCGTAAAAAGCTGAAATTCGGCACGGTGATCCGTAATGGCTTGGTATGAAATAATATGAAGTCAAAAATGAACAAAAAGTAACCAGAGGGGCACTAGGGGTGACCCATACCGATTTCCATAGAATTTAGGAGGATTGAATTTCTAAATTTTAAGAATACTATAAGAATAGTAGAAAAATGGTAGCACATGAACATAATTTTATAGAAAATTCTGACAAACGTGAGTTTACTAAACACACCTGGTTCGGGCTAAGCAAAGCTGTACTGATAGGTTTTGAATATAGAGCAAGAACAAGTGGAAGAAATCCAGTTATGCAATTTAAAATTGATAATTCAGAACGCCGGTTTACTTGAAGCGTACGACTCAAAGTTTTTCCAATAAATTCTTTTGATTAACTAAGGATTCTATCAATTTCATCCTTTCGAATAGATTTATTTCCGGCTGGTGAAATACATTGCATGGAAGTGCTTTATTTCCTAATTATAGGAAATAAATTCGTGATTACGTTTTTGCTTCTTTGTGGGGTTTATTCAACCGAATCTTTAGAGTCGGATTGATAATTATTTAGTCGCTGAAAATCTGACATTTTCGCTAATTGTTTTACGAAATAACAAGGAATGGCATGACAAAAGTTGAATGAGAATTGGGAAGAAATGAGAGTTAGTGATGGTAATTGTGAATGATGAAAATACATACCCATATCTATCCATTTATGTATGCTGTCAATAATATGATAGGCAAAGTAGAGTAATATGATATGTAAAATTTGGTCGGATGCTTTTACATTCTCGTTGGACACAAAAATTAAACCCGTTGCCGATTGCATTATTGGCCAAATTATTAATTTTGGTTGGAATAAACTAAATTTTCGTTGGATGGTATAAAATTGACCCTGGTAAAATGTCAGATCTGCGGTAATCTTTAAGCTTACGCCAGCCCGGTAAAACTGATTTCTACCACAAGCGCCGACTTCCCCTATGTTGCCCACTCCAGTAGCTCTCATTTGAGCCCAAATTCAAGCCAATACAACGGTGGGTTCAAATTTGAGAAGCAGTCAAAGTTTGGTAAAATGTCAGATCTGCGGTAATCTTTAAGCGTACGCCAGCCCGGTAAAACTGATTTCTACCACAGGCGCCGACTTTCCCGGATGTTGTCCACTCCAGTAGCTCTCATTTGAGCCCAATTTCAAGCCAATACAACGGTGGGTACAAATTTGAGAAGCAGTCAAAGTTTGGTAAAATGTCAGATCTGCGGTAATCTTTAAGCTTACGCCAGCCCGGTAAAACTGATTTCTACCACAAGCGCCGACTTCCCCTATGTTGCCCACTCCAGTAGCTCTCATTTGAGCCCAATTTCAAGCCAATACAACGGTGGGTTCAAATTTGAGAAGCAGTCAAAGCTTGGTAAAATGTCAGATCTGCGGTAATCTTTAAGCGTACGCCAGCCCGGTAAAACTGATTTCTACCACAGGCGCCGACTTTCCCGGATGTTGTCCACTCCAGTAGCTCTCATTTGAGCCCAATTTCAAGCCAATACAACGGTGGGTACAAATTTGAGAAGCAGTCAAAGTTTGGTAAAATGTCAGATCTGCGGTAATCTTTAAGCTTACGCCAGCCCGGTAAAACTGATTTCTACCACAAGCGCCGACTTCCCCTATGTTGTCCACTCCAGTAGCTCTCATTTGAGTCCAATTTCAAGCCAATACAACGGTGGGTTCAAATTTGAGAAGCAGTCAAAGTTTGGTAAAATGTCAGATCTGCGGTAATCTTTAAGCTTACGCCAGCCCGGTAAAACTGATTTCTACCACAGGCGCCGACTTCCCGATGTTGTCCACTCCAGTAGCTCTCATTTGAGCCCAATTTCAAGCCAATACAAGGTGGGTACAAATTTGAGAAGCAGTCAAAGTTTGGTAAAATGTCAGATCTGCGGTAATCTTTAAGCGTACGCCAGCCCGGTAAAACTGATTTCTACCACAGGCGCCGACTTCCCGGATGTTGTCCACTCCAGTAGCTCTCATTTGAGCCCAATTCAAGCCAATACAACGGTGGGTTCAAATTTGAGAAGCAGTCAAAGTTTGGTAAAATGTCAGATCTGCGGTAATCTTTAAGCTACGCCAGCCCGGTAAAACTGATTCTAACCACAAGCCCGACTTCCCCTATGTTGCCACTCCAGGGGCTCTCATTTGAGCCCAAATTCAAGCCAATACAACGGTGGGTTCAAATTTGAGAAGCAGTCAAAGTTTGGTAAAATGTCAGATCTGCGGTAA